GAAGACCTACTTCGCATGTGTCCCTAAGTACTAGCACACAAGTCTGAACCTTGGCACTTCCTTTTCAAAGATGACATACTCCTCTCCTGGTCAACTAAAATGGCAACTGCTTTAAAACTAGAAAAGAACCATTTAATCAGATGTGTATAAAACCTTTATAATGCATTCTTAATCAACCTGTAAGTTGAAAAAAAGCCTTCCAAATATATCAAAAATAGATGGTAGTTATAAACCATTCTCCTATTCCTCAGTGCTTCCAATGGTCCTGTGAGGGGTAGACTTTCCAAGCACTCCAGGGGAGGATTATTTTCACATTCCCAAGCCTAGCCTAGCAACTTGATAACAACAGGCCATTTGGGCAATATTAGGTGGTTGCACCGTGCGAAGTCCCAAGATTGGCACTTACTTCTGAAGCCCAAAAATGCTTAATAGAGGTCCCCTGGAGAGATGTCATTTTGGGGGAAGATAGTCAATTGACTACAAGGTATTTCCTCTTTAGACACCAATAACTGCTATGTAAAGACTCACATCTGCACCTACCTAGCCTTTTCAGATGCTGTGTGATAATGATAATGAACTATTTCATGTAATGTCAAAATGACACAGACTTGATTCACACAATGAAGATGTAGTCCAGCTGCTGGAGAAGCTTGGTTAAAAAAAATTCCACATTAAAACAAACCAGTTGGTAGTAACTGATCATTAAAATAATTACTAAAAACTTCCACCTCTAGTACAGTGCTTTGGACTTGGTTTACCCCAAAACTCATCAAGCAAGTTTAAGTGGATTCAGGTCCTGCCCCCTTGCCATTAGGGTACAACACACATCTCAAATTCAGAATCCTCCTTTTTGCAAGAGAGGAAAAAAGGTTAAAAGGCAGAAGTCTGCATGGTGCACAAGGTCTAGTTTTTACATAATTTCCTGAGTTTCTTCTTCAAAATCATTGAAAAAGTAGCAAATGAAACTGCACTACTTCCTAGCTTCCAGTCCAGAAGACACGACAAAATTTCACTTATTCAGTATATTGTTCAGACATTAGATATTCTGTAGGCATGGATCTACCGAATTAAACAAAATTTATGGAGAAAGGTGCTAAACATTTTTATTTCTTAGAAGAAACTGATCAGAAGGCATTTACTGGCTTTTTCAGCAAGTGATTTCAGTAGTAGCTCAAGAGTCTTCATTAACCCACAAGTTCATACTCTATAAAACAGGGTGGTTTTGTAGGGGAAAAAAAAGGTAGGTTTATTAATTTATTAAATGTATTCGTTTACATGCAATAAAATTCACCTTTGGTATACAGTTCTGTGAGTTTTGACAACTGCATTCAGTGACGTAACTACTTCTACAATCAAGATAAAGATCAGTTCCATCACCTCCCATATCCCCTCATGCTTCACTGGAGTCAACCCCTACCCCTCTGTCACCCCCAGGAAACCACAATCTTATTTTTCACTTATAAATAAAACCAGTGATGCCACTGACACTACTGAGGAATACTGTGTTTGACCCTGTAATAAAAAAGTTCTATGCTATGGCTCACTGCCTGCTTTTGTAAATAAAGTTTTACTGGAACACAGCCATGCCTATTTATTTACTTATTATTGGTGGTTGCTTTCATGCTATGACAGTGGGGTTGAAGAGTTGCCACCTGGAATTACCTCAAAGCCTAAACATACAGAAAAAGTTTGCTGACTTTTGTTGTAGGCTATTACAATTTTCCTTTTAGCGATGTTTCTCTTTTAAATTATGCCACCACTTCCCACCGTACCTGTTTGTAGCAAACTCCCAATTCTTCTGCTACTACTCTGCTCTGATTTGATGTTAACATGGACCTAGTGTGGACTCCAGGTAAAGGGCAACAGATTTTGTGACATTCATACTCCTCACTTTTTAGACTCACATAGTTGAGATAGTTGAAAGTTTGCTGAATAAATGCTCTATTGAGATAATGCAGACAGACTACATTGTACTGATGTTTACAATTCTATCACTCAAACTTAGAATCCTTCCAGGGAGTGTTCCAAAATTTCACAGTGAGCCTTTATGTTTTATACAAATAATACTAGTTTGCAATAAATTAATCTACTAGGAGAAAGCTTTCCTCAAGGCATAATTGTGCTGCTTTCTGAGTATATTCATGTTGACTTAGTGCCTTCTTTCAAAGATACTATTAGTGTATAATATAGTTTGTGGGAATTACAGTGCATGCGGTGTCACAGCCTGAAAAAAATCGAAGGACCTCAGTGGTTAATGTTTTTAACTTAGAGCAATGAAAAGAATTGATCATTACCTGGCAAGGAATTGCACCACCCCATTCTTGCTGAACAATATTGCAAACACCAACCAATGCAGATTCCAAGCACGTTTTATCATAATCATCCATATTACTTAGTGCTTCCTGATCAAATAAAAGATAAAATTTTACAGCTTTATTATTAGAAAACAACATAAACTGTTCAAAGCATAAACATGATACGGGGGCATTGTGTTTCTGACAGCCCAAAAAGCACAGGTTCTTGGAGAAAAATGGTCAGACACGCTTCCTCAACTGTAAAGGATAATTAAAAGAGCTTCTCTTTGTTCCCTCCTCTTATCAGGTGAGAGTGAACAGTCCACCAAGTTCATATCTTTGTAAGTGGTCCCTGAAGGAAATAATTAAAATGAAGCACTTTAAACCCATCATAAAAATAAAAAATTTATAGAGTACTAACTGTATCCTAAACACCATTCTAGGCATTTTACATGCATTTAATCAGTATAACACCCTATAAGGTATAGATTATTAGCCTATTTTTAAATTGAGGAAACTAAAGTACAGAAATGATTAGGTCACTTTCTCAGTTACCATGCCTAGAAATGGCAGAGTCTAGATCTGAACCTGGTCTATCTGCTTCCAGGACTCCTGGTCTTAATCATTTTTCTGTACTACTTATATAGCAATTCTCTAAACATCAGGACTGCTGAACATTCCAAATCCTAGTTTACTCACTTATAAGAGACCACTGCAGTTTAAAAAAAAGCTTTGAGTAACTTAAAAAAATGTGAGATAATAAAAGGAACGATTTAACAAAATTTTATTACTTGTATTTTTAAGAAATCAAACTACATTGATCCTGGATTTCTAAACTGCCCAGCAATTATTAAACTGTTTGGTTTACTTCCACAGACACTTATTGATGGCTCGCTATAGATAGGCAAGGCCCTGTGCTACACACTTGTTGGAAATATTAATGATTTAGAGATGTCAGAAATAAACTGGCCTATTACAGACACCACCTTTGAAAGGTAACACGTATCGACTGAGGTGTAAAAATTTTAATTTCTTGGCATCTGTGAGTCAATGGCTATCTGTTGGAGAGGAAGTATAATTTTTGAATTACTTTATAGAATAAGGGTTTTTGTAGGGAAGGGCTATTTTTCATCTTCTCAAGTTTTACAAGAAAGCAGAAAAGAGTAAAGTGATGAACCTAAAGACCCTGAACTTTAGGGAACAGGGCACTACATCCTGAGATGCTCCCCTTTCCACAGAGAATTCCAGAAAAGAGAAGAAAGTAAGACCACCAACTCACAGCTCTCACACCAAAGGCATATGGTCTACTGCCTGTGAATCCGTGTGTTATAGCTGTACTCAGATATTTCACCCATAGGCTTATCACTTATCATTAAATAATTCCAAGTTCTAAATAGTCAGTGCAATATGGTAACACTTGTTTTCCTCAGTATATACAATAACTCACTTTTTTCATACCTGTAGGGTGTTATAGTCTCTTGTGAAGGGAACCATCAGTTCCCAGAGTGATGAAAAAACCACGAGGGCTGTAAACTCAAGCTTGTAATTTGTGGCCATGTGCTCAAACAGCATCGTCAAACCGTGGGCTGCTAGGTGCTTGCGCTGATATTCCTCAGACCCCTCGATGGACACAGGCCGGGTCATGGAAAGGGATACGTCCATTACCACCACTGTGGGCATGATGGAAATGATCCTAGTGTTCCCAGGCAGAATGCAGACAGACAACTGTAAGTGGAGAAATGCTGCAGAAAATAAACAGGATTAGGTCTTACATGTCATGGAGAGGAAAAAAGTACCTTTTCATCATTTAAGTTTAACCAAACCTCCCAGAAATGAGTAAACGCCCATCCCATTTAAGTTGAGGTGAGGGCAAATCTGCAGAGAATTCAGTGGGAGGGAAGCATGCAGCACAGCTCACTGTGAGGACCACTCTTAGAATCACCCACTAAATGGCCATAAATCAAGGACCACCTTAGTATTTCTATTAAAAAAAAACAACAACATTAAATTCAGGCAGCCCTTGACTTTCATACTTCCAAATTTTATACAACTTAATACAACACTCCTACATCACCTCTCTAACACTTACTAAAAGTGGCTCTTGAGAAATTTACTGAAGAACTCCTAGTTGCCATATGGTAGTGCTTTCTGCTGATCAACCCTTCTTCTTGGGTGGCTATCTTCATCTACCCCACAGTGTCTGTGCAAGTGTTTATCACCCTGTTGCATGGTGCCCTTTTAAAAAAAATTAAAATGAATACAAACATGAAAAGGCTAGTAAAGTGATCCCAAGTAAAGCTGGAAATCATCAAACATGACAAAAGCAACGAACTGCTGGCCTCATCAGTACTCACGGCGCACAGATGGCGGCAGCGCTCTAACTTTGAGGGAAAAGAACAGAATTAAGGAATATGGATGACAGCTGGCATTATCTTATGAAACTGTAACATTGTGTCAAATTAAGACTATGGATTGAAAATTAGCACGAAGAAAAAATTTCTGTTGAAAGAAAAAACTTCATGGCTATACAGACCTGCTCATGGGAACATAGCTTGCTGCTACTATTATTAAGCAAACTATGGTCTAGGGGCATAATGAAATGTCATAGAGCTTAAATAAATGACACATATGTAGATATCAGACATATTCATATGGACTATTAGTAGCTGATAATAGTAAGTCACAGGACTGTATGCATACTGATTACAAATGCATAAACATCCTATCACATATAGACAGGGAAGACGCTGGAAGGACATAAACAGGTTAGAAATTTAATGTTCACTAATTTCTTCTTTGGAATTTACTTCCAAACACCTAACAGTGGCCAAGGTGCTTTTGTTACTTAGTATAGTGTCCAACTGCAAATGTGTGATATTCTCAAATTCCATTTGCAAATAGACTGCTGGGAGCTCAGAACATATTGGCTATGGAAACAATGTTATAAGTGGTAATGAGGGACTCAAGTCAAGAAGGAAAAGGCTTTTTACATATAATGGCCTGTGAACATTTCAAATACAGCAATGCCTCAAATATCCAACAAAGAATAAATGAGAAATATAACTTAGTTTTCCAGACTCCTTAGAATTATAAAATGTTTAACCATTCTGATAGAAAAAAATTAAACCACATGTCCCCTTGGCTTCACTAAACACTATGTGCTAAATAAACATAATTCTCTTTTATGATGACTTGGCATCACCACTCTCAACACCAATCCTGCCCAGCGCACTGCTACCCTGATGTTATACTTTATACCAGCATTATACTTTATACAGCAAGTGCTGTAGAACACTGTTCTAGAGAGATGCTCTGGAAAGATGTGTTGAGGCCTTACAGCAAAGAATCCAATTTAATTTGCTGACACTATGTTTTCCATGTAATCTTTTTCTACATGCAATGAAAAGAATTGATCATTACCTGGCAAGGAATTGCACCACCCCATTCTTGCTGAACAATATTGCAAACACCAACCAATGCAGATTCCAAGCACGTTTTATCATAATCATCCATATTACTTAGTGCTTCCTGATCAAATAAAAGATAAAATTTTACAGCTTTATTATTAGAAAACAACATAAACTGTTCAAAGCATAAACATGATACGGGGGCATTGTGTTTCTGACAGCCCAAAAAGCACAGGTTCTTGGAGAAAAATGGTCAGACACGCTTCCTCAACTGTAAAGGATAATTAAAAGAGCTTCTCTTTGTTCCCTCCTCTTATCAGGTGAGAGTGAACAGTCCACCAAGTTCATATCTTTGTAAGTGGTCCCTGAAGGAAATAATTAAAATGAAGCACTTTAAACCCATCATAAAAATAAAAAATTTATAGAGTACTAACTGTATCCTAAACACCATTCTAGGCATTTTACATGCATTTAATCAGTATAACACCCTATAAGGTATAGATTATTAGCCTATTTTTAAATTGAGGAAACTAAAGTACAGAAATGATTAGGTCACTTTCTCAGTTACCATGCCTAGAAATGGCAGAGTCTAGATCTGAACCTGGTCTATCTGCTTCCAGGACTCCTGGTCTTAATCATTTTTCTGTACTACTTATATAGCAATTCTCTAAACATCAGGACTGCTGAACATTCCAAATCCTAGTTTACTCACTTATAAGAGACCACTGCAGTTTAAAAAAAAGCTTTGAGTAACTTAAAAAAATGTGAGATAATAAAAGGAACGATTTAACAAAATTTTATTACTTGTATTTTTAAGAAATCAAACTACATTGATCCTGGATTTCTAAACTGCCCAGCAATTATTAAACTGTTTGGTTTACTTCCACAGACACTTATTGATGGCTCGCTATAGATAGGCAAGGCCCTGTGCTACACACTTGTTGGAAATATTAATGATTTAGAGATGTCAGAAATAAACTGGCCTATTACAGACACCACCTTTGAAAGGTAACACGTATCGACTGAGGTGTAAAAATTTTAATTTCTTGGCATCTGTGAGTCAATGGCTATCTGTTGGAGAGGAAGTATAATTTTTGAATTACTTTATAGAATAAGGGTTTTTGTAGGGAAGGGCTATTTTTCATCTTCTCAAGTTTTACAAGAAAGCAGAAAAGAGTAAAGTGATGAACCTAAAGACCCTGAACTTTAGGGAACAGGGCACTACATCCTGAGATGCTCCCCTTTCCACAGAGAATTCCAGAAAAGAGAAGAAAGTAAGACCACCAACTCACAGCTCTCACACCAAAGGCATATGGTCTACTGCCTGTGAATCCGTGTGTTATAGCTGTACTCAGATATTTCACCCATAGGCTTATCACTTATCATTAAATAATTCCAAGTTCTAAATAGTCAGTGCAATATGGTAACACTTGTTTTCCTCAGTATATACAATAACTCACTTTTTTCATACCTGTAGGGTGTTATAGTCTCTTGTGAAGGGAACCATCAGTTCCCAGAGTGATGAAAAAACCACGAGGGCTGTAAACTCAAGCTTGTAATTTGTGGCCATGTGCTCAAACAGCATCGTCAAACCGTGGGCTGCTAGGTGCTTGCGCTGATATTCCTCAGACCCCTCGATGGACACAGGCCGGGTCATGGAAAGGGATACGTCCATTACCACCACTGTGGGCATGATGGAAATGATCCTAGTGTTCCCAGGCAGAATGCAGACAGACAACTGTAAGTGGAGAAATGCTGCAGAAAATAAACAGGATTAGGTCTTACATGTCATGGAGAGGAAAAAAGTACCTTTTCATCATTTAAGTTTAACCAAACCTCCCAGAAATGAGTAAACGCCCATCCCATTTAAGTTGAGGTGAGGGCAAATCTGCAGAGAATTCAGTGGGAGGGAAGCATGCAGCACAGCTCACTGTGAGGACCACTCTTAGAATCACCCACTAAATGGCCATAAATCAAGGACCACCTTAGTATTTCTATTAAAAAAAAACAACAACATTAAATTCAGGCAGCCCTTGACTTTCATACTTCCAAATTTTATACAACTTAATACAACACTCCTACATCACCTCTCTAACACTTACTAAAAGTGGCTCTTGAGAAATTTACTGAAGAACTCCTAGTTGCCATATGGTAGTGCTTTCTGCTGATCAACCCTTCTTCTTGGGTGGCTATCTTCATCTACCCCACAGTGTCTGTGCAAGTGTTTATCACCCTGTTGCATGGTGCCCTTTTAAAAAAAATTAAAATGAATACAAACATGAAAAGGCTAGTAAAGTGATCCCAAGTAAAGCTGGAAATCATCAAACATGACAAAAGCAACGAACTGCTGGCCTCATCAGTACTCACGGCGCACAGATGGCGGCAGCGCTCTAACTTTGAGGGAAAAGAACAGAATTAAGGAATATGGATGACAGCTGGCATTATCTTATGAAACTGTAACATTGTGTCAAATTAAGACTATGGATTGAAAATTAGCACGAAGAAAAAATTTCTGTTGAAAGAAAAAACTTCATGGCTATACAGACCTGCTCATGGGAACATAGCTTGCTGCTACTATTATTAAGCAAACTATGGTCTAGGGGCATAATGAAATGTCATAGAGCTTAAATAAATGACACATATGTAGATATCAGACATATTCATATGGACTATTAGTAGCTGATAATAGTAAGTCACAGGACTGTATGCATACTGATTACAAATGCATAAACATCCTATCACATATAGACAGGGAAGACGCTGGAAGGACATAAACAGGTTAGAAATTTAATGTTCACTAATTTCTTCTTTGGAATTTACTTCCAAACACCTAACAGTGGCCAAGGTGCTTTTGTTACTTAGTATAGTGTCCAACTGCAAATGTGTGATATTCTCAAATTCCATTTGCAAATAGACTGCTGGGAGCTCAGAACATATTGGCTATGGAAACAATGTTATAAGTGGTAATGAGGGACTCAAGTCAAGAAGGAAAAGGCTTTTTACATATAATGGCCTGTGAACATTTCAAATACAGCAATGCCTCAAATATCCAACAAAGAATAAATGAGAAATATAACTTAGTTTTCCAGACTCCTTAGAATTATAAAATGTTTAACCATTCTGATAGAAAAAAATTAAACCACATGTCCCCTTGGCTTCACTAAACACTATGTGCTAAATAAACATAATTCTCTTTTATGATGACTTGGCATCACCACTCTCAACACCAATCCTGCCCAGCGCACTGCTACCCTGATGTTATACTTTATACCAGCATTATACTTTATACAGCAAGTGCTGTAGAACACTGTTCTAGAGAGATGCTCTGGAAAGATGTGTTGAGGCCTTACAGCAAAGAATCCAATTTAATTTGCTGACACTATGTTTTCCATGTAATCTTTTTCTACACAGTTGCTGTTTAGGTCTCACAGAACAAGTATTGTACAGAACAGACATGACGAAGCCTTGTATTTAAGGGACCCAGGCTGTTGTGCTTGTGCTGTTTTAGTGCCTCTTCTTTATAATTAATTTTTAGACCACCAGCTTGCATTCCCCTTTTTTCAGTAATCCTCTGTAACCATCCTCCCTCTTTCCAAGTAGCTGCTTTTTGGCTACTATGGCCTGGAAAGCCAGGTCATCAGGCTGCTAATTCTGTGTCCAAGGTAAAAGTTAACAGGCTCTGAGAGTCTGTGGGTTTTTTCTAGTGTCAAACACATGACCTTAGATCTATCAACTTGGTACTATTTTATCTACTCAATCTTTTTTCTTTTCTTTCTGGGTCTCAGCTGTGTTGTTCAAGATGTGAGGTAATGTACAACATTGGTTCAACCACTCTTTTAGACCATATGCTCACTAAGGGCAGGGACCATGTAATATTTTGCCCACCAGTGTCTCTTCAGAACCTATCCTAGTCACTGGCAAAATGTGTGTGCTTGACAATTGTTTGGTATAGGCTACTGAAACTACCTGTAATCACCATATGTAACATTAATTCTTTGGCAAAATGCATGAAGAGTTTTAACTCTGGACACCAGGAACACATTTCCTCTTCTCTTCATTCAAGCAGAGGCCCCCAGGGACTCCTATGCCTCTGCCTAGGTACAGACTTTATCCAGCACCCACTGCAGTCCCATCCATGTACAGCGATCTTTGTTGAAGTTGGGGGTCATAGGGAGCACAGCCCTCACCGTTTGGGAGAATGGGAACAGGATACTTAGATTTAGATCAGGTGTCAGAAGGCACTTCTAGCCCACTAAACCTGCTCCAACACTGGAATGGGCGACCGCAGCTGGCAGTCTTGCCTTCTCTGCAGACCTCTCCAGAACTGGCTCCTTCTCCTGACTGATCCATTTGTGTACACCCCCAAACACATCTCCTAAAACAATGGCAAAGTCATGGGAAACTAATTTAGCACCCAGATTGTAAGCAGAGCAGTAAGAGAAGGAGCTGAATATTCTTGAAGGATGGTTCACTCAAGCACTCTAAGCCTGATTAAAAAAAAAAAAAATCCTGTCCACCACAGTCCAGCAGTTTTATGAGAACAGGAGGTGTTTCTCACTTGGGTTGATTCTCACCCTCAAGTCCCCCACCCCACCTCCACACTTCCCGTAAATACTGTTTACATACAATGTAACATTTAAAGGTTAAAATGTAATCTTAAAAATGTAAAACGTAAAATTGAGACCGCTACCGTTCTCAAGAACGGGTTACTCATGAGAATAAACTGTGGCCACCTGATTTGGCCTTAATGCCAACTCCCCACCAGTACACATTTGTAATTCTTCCCTGAATGTGACAATCATCTCATTCATAAAGAATTCTCAGCAGTTTCGCTCTCAAAGCGTGACTCCACGCCAGTCTCCAGCGGCCCGTCCCTTCATGCTGGGGTCCTCACCTCCTCGGGTCTCCCCGTCGCCCTGGTGCGTCCCTTCCCAGTTCCCAGGCACAGCTTCATCGCTAAACCGCCAGCCCGGAAATAACGAACTCCCGCATTTGGACTGCAACTCAGGTGTACTTGGACCTTAAAATAAGTAAAAGAAAAAAAACTGAGATCTGGAAGTCTCTTATGGGAACAGGCGGCCGGGGAGGGCCTGGACAGGGAGGCAGAAATCGTGGAGTTTACGCCGCGCGGGGGCCCCGAACCACAGCGCACGGGAGGCTGGGCACCGGGCCTGGGGCCCAGGGCCCGGGAACCGGCGCCGCACGGACCGCGCGGGGAGGCCGCAGGGGCGGCGGGAGGGCAGGGCGCTGGCCCCACGCTGTTCCCCACCGCTGAGCCCTTGTGCGGCTCCAACACAACCCAAGACGGCCCGGGGCCCCGGCCTCCCCACTTACCCCGCGCCCATCACCAGCACAGTCCGTCCGCATAAACTTTCCGTCCGCGAACCGAGGCCGGAACCTTCCCGGCCGTGAGACAAAAGGGAACCGGGCGCCGGGACTGCGCCCTGGGCGGGGCTTTCGGACGGCGGAGGGCCCGGCTCCGGACTTCCCCGCTACCAGCCTTCTCCCCACCCCTCTTGCCCCCAGATCCCCAGCTTCCCCGAGCCTGGACTGCGTCTTGCCCTTCCTTCCCTCTCCGTTCTCGGGCTCTTCTCCCACCTGCCCCTGGCCTCCCGCCCACCTGCCCTTCGTTCCGCTGGCCCAGTGACCCCTTCACACTTCTGTCCCCTCACTCACCCGGGCGCGGTTCGTGCACCAGCCGTGCCGTCACTGGTAATTCCACCCCCTTCCCTCCACTCTTCAGAGCCCTAACTCACATCCTCTGAACCAGTTGTCAGACTCTTCTTCCTACTCTTTAAATTACAACTCTTGCCTGAAGAGCGTGCATACTGAACACGTTATATATTATTCTTAGCTGGCCAGGGCCGTTTACACGCCAAGGATTTTCCTTTTGTCTCCTTAGCACGCATGCTCACTTTACCCTTCCACCCTTTCTTTGAGGAAAGCGGAGGGAAGTTTCAGTGAGTTTCCCCTACGCGGGCCTAGACACATTTCGCAGGGATCAGCACCCAGGCTCTCCTATGAGGTATCACGGACACTCGCCATTCTCACCTGTGGCCACCTGGTGTCCCCACAGCAACTTGTGCCTCAGTGAGGTCCCTGAGGGGGCAAAAAGTGACTTTCTTTCTAAGCATATAGGGAGCCAGGAAATGCCAGCTAGAGGTAGGCCTACATGGAAGCCAGCAGGCCCTGGGTAGTTGTGGTTCAAGGAACTATGTTGTACCACATAGGTTACAGGTGGGAACAGAAAGGCCTTCTTTTGGTTAATGGGATGACGTGAGGGAGGAGTGGGTCAAGGAGGGAAGATGCTGTAAACCAACTAACTAAACACCTGAGTCTAACTTCTGACAGCTTGTTCTGTGGGAGAGTTGGGTTCCAGTTGCTTACAGTTCTTGCCTATCTCCTTTTTATATCAGAGGTGACAGAGAAAGACAGGTCAGTCCCTGGAAATGTCCCTGCCAGCATCAGGGCCCAGGTGCTGCAAACTGCCCTTTTTTGCTTCAGAACTTATTTCCCCAACTTGGCTAGTCTCTCTCACATTCTCAAAACATCGTTATGCTTGAGCAGGTCCTGGGATCTAAGCAAGTAAGGCTGCATCCTGATTATTTCGTCGTAATTTCTAATTTTTTCCCTAGTGACCAAGAAAGTAGCTATTCCTACTGTGGTGATGACTCAGCCGATTAGAACAGACACTGATCTGGTAGGTCCAGCTCAGCTCCTTGGACTGATTGGTTCGTTACCTTTCCCCGTCCTAAAGCTTTGTTGAAGGGTGATCAGATTTTGGTAACCTGTTCTGAATATAGGCTTTCAGGAGCCCAGGGAGGTAAAAGGGCAATTTGTTTAAATTGATGATAAAAGAACTACCAAGAGCACTGTGTCACTTGCATCTGGTAAGAGCTTTTGTTTTTATTTTTTAATTCTTAGTAGAATCCCTTTAAAAACCAGAAGGTTGTTCAGTGACAATTAAAATCAGAGAACACTAGCACAAAGAGAAGACCTTCAGGAAGACATCTTCAAGCCGTAACTGGTAATGCAGTTCTTCCCACTCAAAAGACCCTCGGCATTTGCATGTTTCTACACACATGTTAAGGAAATCAATAAACAACTTCCTTTGTGCAATGTGTCATCCTGCTTTGAAACGGTGTAAGACTGTCACAGAGGCTTTGGAAAAGCAAAGTGGTTTGGTCTCTGGTCTGAAAGAGTAAAGGTTAGTGACAGAAATACTAGTGGGGGCTCATGGAGCCAGGTACTGGGGCTCAGAGGGAAGTTCAGATATCCAGTTTTCCTAGGGCACATGTTGAAGATGTAGATTCCCAGGCCATGCTGACTGAATGGAATTTCATGAGTTGGTGCCTGGGAATTTTCATTCGAAGTTCCCAAGGCGATGTTTCATCTACAGAGATGAAGTTAAGGTGTGAATGAATGAGGAAAAGGGGAAAGGGAGGAACCAGTGAGCCCACATCCAAAACCACTCAATATTGCTTCAATTGGTATTCCTTAGTAAACTCAGATTTGGCAGGGTGAGTTACACTTAGTGGGCTGTTTCTTCACTTAGTGGGGAGTTGTTGATGGCACTAGTACTATGTGGGTCCCTGCACCACCACATGGAAGCCCTCTGAGAGCACCTCTCCTCCAGACCCAGGCCCCTCGGGATGGGCACCTGACCGTGAGACCCAAGTGTCACCCCCACAGCTCCCTGCCTCAGGTTTGGCTGCAGGCATTGGCAGAGAAATGAAATGTCATGGGATTTTTAGGGGGTTATTTTGCTCTTTCCCAACAGTGGCAACTGTATAGTCATTTTAAAAATCTTATAAACAATATAATATAAACAATTAAAACAAGATAGACAAAATACAGTGACAACTGTGTAGCCAGTGACAAGTGTATAGCCATTTTTTAAAATCCTATAAAATAATATAAACAATTAGAACAATATAAACAAAAGGTCTTGGGCTGTGATGCAGTTCAGCATCTGACAGATCCAGGGGCTTTTCCGCAGGTTCTCACTGTACCGCTTACAGAAAGGAAGCTCCTCTTTCAGGCTTTTGTAAATGAACCTGAGGTCGGGACCCTATGAGACTTGTTCCTGGTCAGGCTTGTTACTTTATTAGGCATTGCAAAGCAGTACCTGTAGGTCAAGCATAATCTAATTTTTTACCTTTTAATATTTTTTAATTGTTTTCCTAGAATGCCTATTGATGGGTCATTCATTCTCCGCCCAGAAGCAGCCTTTGTTTCTGCTGGCTTTGAATAGACCAATTGAATTTAATTTTATCCACCCAGGCCCTGAAGGCATTTGAGATCTGTACCTATAGGGTCAATATCAACTCCTGATGTAGGCCCCAAAATAACCCAGCCTCAGCCACGAATCCTCCATGTCAGGTGAAAAGTCACATTCCCTCTTCCTCCTGTCCTAGCAGAACATGGGAAAGGTCTTCAGCTGCCTCTGCTGTCCTGTCCACCCCCATGCCCTGCCTTCCTCAGCCCCTGTCCTCTCATGAGGGTCAGGACCAGATCTGCCCCACCTGTCCTGCCACTCTGGTCCAGGGAGAGTATAGCCTGGAGCAACTTTGTAGAATAAAGCAGATCAGCTTTCCTTTGTCTAGCAGTTTGCTCTGAAAGGTCATGAGCCTCTGCGAGAGGGTACCCCCCACCCACCGTGTGCAGCCCAGATGCCCTCTTGGAGCGTCTCCTCACTGAGATGTACCCAAAATATAGTTATGGGGGCCAGACACTGTTCTGGGCTCGGGATTTAGCCATGAATAAGACAGACAATCTCTGTCTTCTTGGAGCTCATCTGCTAGTAAGAGATGCAGTTAATCAGGTGATCATACCAATAAACAGAACGCTGTTGTCACAGTGGAATACATGGGGGCGGGTCACCCCCTAACATGGCCTGACTGTAATCTAAAAAAGCAGAATAACAATGACGACGACAATACCAGGCACTGTCACTATGTTTTACAGATTAATTTATTTAATGCTCACAACAAGCTTAGCATGCAGGTAGTGTCATCACCCTCATTTTACAGGATGAGAAGTTCACAGCCACTTGGAAGTTAAGCAACTTGCCCAAAACTCAGGCCGCTAGCTGGTGATGGTGTCACTCTTGGCTGACAGCAACATTTTTATGGCCTGTTAAAGTCCAAAATGTGTCACGAGCCCATGAGAACTAGGACAGAAGAAACCAGGTTCATCCCCAGCAGGTGAGATTCAGGTCAAACACTAGAAAGAACTCCTTGGCAACAATCATAAATACATGAGAGAAAGGAATCCCTTTTCTGGGGATTTGCTTCTCCCCAGAATTTCCTGTTAAACAAATAACATTGTAGAAACAGAAGCATTAATTTAGAAAAAATGATCACTTGTAATTCCACCTTGGGAATTGGGTTTCTTTTTCCATCTTTCTGGGCCTGATTGAGACTGTGATAGACAGCCGGTGTGGATGAGCAGTAACTAGCTCCGGTTCTGCCTAAAGCACCTGCAGGCAAGGATGTGCTAACTAGCAGAGGTCAGCCCCCCAGCCCGGCTGCCAACATTCAGAGTGACCCCAGGTCACCTGGAGATGAGGACAGCTCTGCCATGGGGGAGGACACCGCTGTGCGCTTCAGCAGAAGGATCGGCGTACTTCTTACTGCAACAGGCCACTCAGGGGAAAGTAGGGCAGGGGTGAGGCTGTGAGGGATCACCTGCTATTTTAGATGAAAGCAATCAAAGCAGCATGCTCACCATGAACTTTGGGGGAAACAGAGGGGGGAGAAAGGAGCAATCAGGAAGCATCAGGCAGTTAGCTGAATGATTGAAATGGCTTCCAGGTCAGTGGGTGGTGTCATGAGACCCTTATTGCCTCTCCCAACTCCCACTTCCATCATTCCAGCCATGAGCTGGAGACGTAATTCCTTGGGTACCTCTGGATGTCTCAGCCTGCTCCGGGGAGGTGGGTCAGTGTCCTCTACCCCAGGGATTTCCCTTAGGCCTAATAAAATATTTTTCATGTGTGAAATGTTTTAAAGCTTTAACGTGCCTTTGGTGCACTCCCTCATATTTTTTTTATTTTTCATTTTTTTATTAGGGTATCATTGATATACATCTTATGAAGGTTTCAGTGAAAAACATTGTGGTTACTACATTCACCCCTATTATCAAGTCCCCCCCATACCCCATTGAAGTCACTGTCCATTAGCGTAGTAAGATGCCACAGAGTCACTACTTGTCTTCTCTGTGCTACACTGTCTTCCCCATGATCCCCCCCACACCATGTGTACTAATCATAATGCTCCTCAATCCCTTTTTCCCTCCCTTCCCACCCGCTCTCCCCCACCCCTCCCCTTTGGTAACCTCTAGTCCCTTCTTGGAGTCTGTGAGTCTGCTGCTACTTTGTTCCTTCAGTTTTGCTTCATTGTTACACTCTTTGGTATTTGTCTTTCTCCGCCTGATTTATTTCACTGAGCATAATGTCCTCCAGCTCCATCCATGTTGTTGCAAATGGTAGGATTTGTTTCTATCTTTTTTTATTTTTTATTAAGGTATGATTGATATACACTCTTATGAAGGTTTCACATGAAAAAACAATGTGGTTACTACATTTACCCATATTATCAAGTCCCCACCCATACCCCAGTGCAGTCACTGTCCATCAGTGCAGCAAGATGCCACAGATCCACTATGTGCCTTCTCTGTGCTACACTGTTCTCCCCGTGATCCCCCACACCATGTGTACTTAAACATAATACCCCTCAGTCCCCTTCTCCCTCCCTCCCCACCTGCCCTCCCACACCCCTCCCCTTTGGTAACCACTAGTTCATTCTTGGAGTCTGTGAGTCTGCTGCCATTGTATTCCTTCAGTTTTGCTTTGTTGTTATACTCCACAAATGAGGGAAATCATTTGGCATTTGTGTTTCTCTGCCTGGCTTATTTCACTGAGCATAATGTCCTCCACCTCCATCCATGTTGTTGCAAATGGTAGGATTTGTTTCTTTCTTATGGCTGAATAGTATTCTGTTGTGTATATGTACCACATCTTCTTTATCCATTCATCTACTGATGGACACTTAGGTTGCATCCATATCTTGGCTATCGTAAATAGTGCTGCAATAAATATAGGGGTGCATATGCCTTTTTGAATCTGAGATCTTGTTTTCTTTGGGTAAATTCCTAGGGGTGGAATTCCCGGGTCAAATGGTATTTCTATTTTTAGTTTTTTGAGGAACCTCCTATTGCTTTCCACAAAGGTTGAACTAATTTACATTCCCACCAGCAGTGTAGGAGGGTTCCCCTTTCTCCGCATCCCCACCAGCATTTGTTGTTCCTGGTCTTTTTGATGTCAGCCATCCTAACTGGTGTGAGTTCCCTCATATTTTTGAATAGATGATTTCTTAGAGGAGTTTTAGGCTCACACCAACACTGAGCAGATAGTTCCTCATTTTCTATTTTGATTCTCACATCCACCCTACAAATAGGTAGAATGGGTACTATCTCCACATTTACGTTAGAATCACACAGTAGCATACAAACCCTGGTGCTAAGTGAGGTCTTCTGATCTCTTAAGCCCTAGGCACTTTCTCCTGCTTCCCTTAGTGCACCTTATGAATCTTTCCAGATCTTTCCTCTCCTTAAGCATGGACACCCTGCACCACCTCTCATTCCAAGAGCTTAGAAACAAATTTGAGAAATTTCTCTAGCTTCTGCCTTGACTGGAGGGTCCCACGGAGAGCCTGTTGGGGTCCCCAGTGGAAGGCCCGCACCCTCATAATCTGCAGAGGCACTGGCACCCTGCTTGTACAATGCCCCGACAAGCTGCTTAGAGGTGGGTATTAGCAGGGATTGGATATTCTTCCTCTGAGATGCCCTTCACACCCGACCCTGCCTTGAATTAGGATTCTATCGGGGAGCTGTGGGCAGGAGAATAGGGTGTTCCCTGCTGTCCAGCTTCAGACCCACTCTTTGAAATACTGGATTCTGACAAGTTTCCAGAACTGAGAAGATACTCAGATGTCCAGGTTTGAAGGTAAATGATGCGGTTAGGTAGGAGGGATCTGCTGGGGTGCCAGCTCAGCTCTGTTATATAACACAGGCACACCAGAAAGAGAGAGACCCTCCAAAGTTTCTTTAGGAGTATCATGGTGGGAAGACGGTTATGGGACTCAAGGACAAAGAAGGAATACGTTCCCTACTTTTTTTGCTTGTCTCTTTCTTGTTAAGACAGGTTGGCTGGCAGTTGTTCACTAGTGTGATATTCTGGAAAGGTCATGGCATTGGAAGCCTCATTTGCACTGCCGCTCACTAGCTGTGTGATGGTGAGCAAGCCACATCTTCTCTCCGGACCTCAGTCTTCACGTCTCAAACGGGGAGTTGCCCTAAACAGTGTCTGTAATTCCCACCTTTAATGACCTGAGAGTCTATGGGTTACTCATCTCACTTCTCAAATATTACTTCATATGCAAAACTGAATCATTCCTCGTTATTGTTTTGTAATAGTGTGTGGACTCTGATTGAGATTTCCTAAATATTTACTTGGGCTGGGCCTCACAGCCTTCTTTATAAATGAAGGATTCTTTGAGGGCCTTTCGTGTTCTTTCCTCCTATGTCCTTATGTAAAGTTATGTAGCATTGTTGATTCTGTACAATGCTTTTCACAGACCTTAGGGGCTTTTACCTCCCCAAATTCCTGTGACACCGGTATTGTTATTACTATTGTCATTTCTTCTACATTAAGTTTGAATTTAAAATCTTATAACATGCACATGATAAAAAGGTTAAGTAGTTAAACTAAACATTAGGATATAATGAAAAATAAGTCTCCCTCTGACTCCTGACCCTCATTTCCCTTCTCCAGATACTCTTTCCAGAGATGGTCTTTGCATAATCAACCTAGATGTTACAATACCCATTTCACAGATGAGGCAACGAGGCTCAGCCTACCCAGGGTGACACAGTTGGTAAGCGGCAGAGCTAGAAAGCCAGGCCTTTGACTCCATTCCCTATATTCCTCCACACTATACACACTGTCTGGAAAGTTCCATGATTAGCTTTTAAGCTTTGTTCTATTAGGATGATATGGTGGAATCATTTTAAGTCAGTCCACAAACAAACAAATGGAGCCTTGACGTCTCCAGCACTGCCTTCCATGGCTGCCTCTTTTTGTCTAAAGCTTAAGATCATGTCTCCTCACCTCCCTCCTGCTTTTGATGAGGTGAGATCTGTGGCCTGGGGCACCAGCTGTGTGACTGAGATCCCAGATACTCAGGTTGGGCCTGAGGGGTGCTGGCAGAGCCCTCGCAGGGATCGCAAGGGGGGCTGGGCGGACCCAGCTCAGGGGCATGGGCTGCTGACACAACTACACAGCCTAGAGGACCTCTACATACTTTCCCCAAGAGCAGGCATTTCCCCTGGGGCAGGGGTAGTTTTGTTTCAGTAGAAACAAAAGACCCCTGAGTAAATTGTCACTCTTCCAGGTGACAGTTTGGTGGATCCCAGCTCTCCTCTTAGGGACAAATACCTCTTTTTTTTCTCTAGGTTTGTGGATACCTCCTGGTGGGGCTTCATGGAGAAATCTTTACTGATCACCAACCTGAATCCAGAACAGTCCCCATCTTTCCACGGACGGAATGAGAGGCCTTCTGTAACCAGGCATAACTGGCCATCATGGGCAAATTGATTAGGGTGCGCAGGCAGGGGAGGAGGTTACTCCGGCCAAAGCGGCGTCACTGGGGTCGCCTCCTCTTCCTACTGGGAATGTTGATTGTCGGGTCCACCTACCAGCGGCTGAGGAGCCCCTGGGGCCTCCCCTCACTGTGGGCGGTAGTCTCTTCCCACCACCCTGTAAAGCTAGCCAGCCGGGACCTCCCCAACAACAAGGTAATGGGGGTTAGCAGCGACCCTCCGAGAGCCATCTCTGCAATGGAGGGTGGGACGCTGGCGCCCCAAGCCACAGCGAGCAGGGACGAAGCAACACCTGGCATAACAATGCAGAACGCCGCCAGGACACCCGGAAGAACAGCCGCCATCCCCCCAACAGTACCCAGGATTAGCTACAGCCCAGCAGCAGCCCCCACGCAAAGAGCGGAGGAACGCCCCACAACCACACCGCGGGGAGGACTGAATCCCTCTACCCAGACTTCAAGCAGGCCAACGGTGGAGAATCATACCCCAGCAGCACCCAGGGGAGAAATGGGCAGCTACCGCCCTACTCCTGCCGGGGCAAAGGCGACGAGGGGCACGCCATCCCCGCTTGGTGGGACAGCAGGCAGTTATGCCGCCTCCGCGCCCGTGACAGTGACAAGGAGCCGCGGGCTCACCCCTGGAACAACCGGGAGAGACAGTGTAAGTGTGGCAACCATGCTGAAGACGAGCCCTTCCGGGAGGACTGCAGAGGAAACCACCCCGACGACTCTGCAGGGAATAATCGGTAGCATCTCAGCTTCCCTGATAAATGACGTAGCAACAAACATCTTGACTTCTCCCAGGAGTCTGGTGGAAAAGGATAGCCTGACTACCCCCAGAAGAGTGGACAACAGCAGGTCAACCAACCCTGGGGGGCTGGTGGGAAAGAACGACCTGGCAGCTCCCGTGGGGACGGCCCTGTGGCACCCTGCAGCCAGCTCCGAGGGGCAAGTGACGATAAGCACCATGACAGGCAGTGGCCTGGCAGAAACTAAAGCCTCTGCTGCTGCCTGGAGTATCGGGAATCCCTCATCCAGAACCAGTGTACCTACCACCGGAATATCCTCAGCGACCTTTTGGGGGCTGGCGAAGAAACCTTCCACAGCTCCCAGCACCTTAGCACCCCTCAGGGTCAGCACAAGTCCTAGCACCCAGGTCCATCACCGTGTGGTTGTGGAGCCAGTCCCCTCTCCCACTGTCCCCTCCCCCAGCCTGACAACGGCCGTGACCCCAGAGACGCCCAGTCCCCATCCCTCGGCGCTACTGCCTGGCCTGCCAGACCTTCACCCAAAGGCACAGTACCCCCCAGACCTGTTCAGCGTGGAGAAGCGGCAGCAGGGCTGGGTGGTCCTACACATCTTTGGCATGATGTACGTGTTTGTGGCCTTGGCCATTGTGTGTGACGAGTACTTTGTCCCAGCCCTGAGTGTCATCACAGACAAGCTGCAGATCTCCGATGACGTGGCCGGTGCCACGTTCATGGCTGCCGGAGGCTCTGCCCCTGAGCTCTTCACCTCCCTCATTGGTGTCTTCATCTCCCACAGTAACGTGGGCATTGGTACCATCGTGGGCTCTGCTGTGTTCAACATCCTCTTTGTCATCGGCACCTGTGCCCTCTTCTCCCGGGAGATCCTCAACCTCACCTGGTGGCCCTTGTTCCGCGATGTCTCCTTTTACATTGTGGACCTGATGATGCTCATCCTTTTCTTCGTGGACAGCCTTGTGGCCTGGTGGGAGAGCCTGATGCTGCTCCTGGCCTATGCCCTCTACGTGGTCACCATGAAGCAGAACAAGCAGCTCGAGCTCTGGGTGAAGGAGCAACTCAGCAGGAGGCCAGCCACCAAGATCATGGCCCTCGGGAACCTCAGCAGGGTAAGGACAAGCTGGCTCCGTTCTCTCTAGCTACTTTGGGGCAAAAGACATGGGGGAAGCCAGGGACCAAAGAGTGGAAAGTGCTGGGTCAGACCGCAAGAGATGGGTGCTCTGGTTCCCTTGTTATTCATGCAACACTTAGGGAGTCCTGTTCCCTGCCTGGCTCTATCTATGCCGGGACCTTTGCAAGGGTGGCCTTGGCTCAACTCCTGATCACCCTATAAAATGGCTATTGTTATGATCTCCATTGGCAGGGGAAGACACTGAGGCCTAATGAAGTTAAACCACAGTTCAAGGTCATACAGCAAATAGGCGGTGGGAGCAGCATTTGAATCCTGGTTGGTCTGACTGGGTTCTTGAACATGACATTAGAGCTGGGCTTTGGAGACTGTCCCAGGAGTTCCCAGGCAGGGAAAAATGATCATCTCTTCCATGTGCATGCTGTTTTGGGCTTACCTAGCACCCTCACTTTCATTTAATCTTATTTGTTCACATTCTGGATTTGGAGGCAGTGGTGGCTTTATGGGGTCTGACAAGGGGGAGGTTTTTGTTTTTGTCTTTGTTTTGAAATATTGGAGAAGATGGGAGCTCCACTCACCCACTGACAAGCCAGCCCTGGGTGCATAGCCCTTTCTCTGTGCCTAGTAGAGACCAGATACAGGAGCTCTAACTTTAAGGCTTTCTTCTGGCCCAAAGTTCCTTTCCAAGAATTTCTCTGCCCCTGTGAGGGACCTTCCTGCTGAATTCATTGCCTGATCCAATCACTTGGAAGAGGAGATCAAACTGGGGAAGTGATCTCTGAAAATTCATCTTTAAGTTTCTTGTTCCTTAAGACTCTGAAGTGAGGGTACCCCAGGGAATACAGACCCCATTTCTTTCCTGGTCCTAAAGAGTGAGTTTGGGTAAAGGTCGGCTCACAGCCTGCCTATTTACAGGTCTCGGAGAAGCCACCGGTATGAGCAGAATTTTGTGTGCAAAGAGTTGAAGGACTTAGCTATTATCCAAAGCAGTTTTGATGACTGGGGCAGGACGGAGACCAAACTCAGAGACATGTCTGGTAGCTGTGTGATGCAAAAGGGGTGACATGTACTTCCGTGAGGGTTTTTGAGATGATGTGTTCTGGCCAGATCATGGAACTGAGTCTGGAAACCTGGGTTCTAATCTGATTCTGCCTTCAACTGTGTGACCTTGGATTGGTCCCTTCCCCACTCTGGGAGAAATGACAGGGTCCAACTTGTCACTGTGATGTCCTGTCTAGCTCTAATATTCCTTGTCTAAGTGAGTTCAGTTCTGGCAGGCTTTGATGGTGGTTATTTGTCCGGTCTAGTTCATTGAGCATTAATTGCCTCGTTTGCAGATGACCCTGAAGGAGAGAAGTCCTGCTCAGGGTCAGAGAGCCAGCAGGTGTCAGAACTGGAATGGAGACCCAGGATCCTCCTCTGCACTCAGGGCTATTTCCCAGCAGACTACTGCTGCATACTTACGGAGGGCCTATTCCACACATACATTATTTCAACAAATTTCCAGACGAGGATAGATGGTTATCCCCATTTTGCAGATGAGGCAACTGAGGCTCAGGGAGGCCAAGTAACTCAGGCAGTCACACGGCTAGTTGGTGGCCCTCACCACTGGTTCATGAAGCTGTATTTCGGGTTTGAACCCAATCTCCGCTGCTAACTGTCCCAGTTCCCCTAGACAAGTCAGTGCAATTCAACAAACTGGTATCATCAAGCACGTGAATGAAAAGTAGTTTGGGAAATAAAAAGATTGTGTCCCTTCCAGTAGAAAGGACTGGCATAGACAAGAGTTACAGTAATAAAGGGATCATTATACAAAATGCTAGAGTCACTTTGCTTTTCAACTAGGCCTTAGATTGTTCTTCTGTAAAGTGAACTAATATCAAGGTTGGCAGACATCTACTATAAAGGGACAGAGAGTAAATATTTAAGCTCTGAAGGCCGTACAGTCTCTGTCACAACTATTCAACTTTGTTATTGTAGAATGAAAGCAGCCCCAGAAAATAAATAAACGAATGGGAATGCCATGTGGTATTTTACTAAAAGCAACATTCTCACAGGTGTTCTCCCACCTGAACAACTTGGAGATACAAGTTCAGCACAGAAGGATGCATTTTCTCACTGAATATTCGCCCAAGTGGTATCTGTGGAGTTTCTGAGCTGGAGGACCTTTTACTTTACTTTCTATGCTGCTCTGAGAATCTAGAACCAGGATAAAGGTTTTTTGTGGGTGTGTGTGGGGGGTATCCTTAATTCTAATGATGCTAATCAGTATTCATAATAAATGTTGTAGCATCAGATAGACACACAGTAACTATTTTAGAGTCTTTTGACACTAGCTGAAAAAAAACATCACAGTGAAAAATATTTCAGACATTGTCATACTGATATGGATTGGCGTGAGGATGCCTTTTATGACCCCAGTAAGGAAAGGGTAAATCTTTGTGTAGTTATCAACATAGTCTAAATTAGCTGACTCTGAAACTTAATACCTGATTTTGAAGCTCTCACGTATTTGTTCTGGCCAAAACTAATAAATATCTGACCTGCCTTGACCACACACCTAGTCACAGAAAGCCAACAAACAGCAAAGCTGAGGTACTAGCTTGGCTGAAAAGTCGTGTTTATCTGTATTTGAAGCACCTTCAAGCTCAGCCAGCAAGCACCACCATCTGCATGAGACGCCAACTGGCAAGACCGCCCAAGGGATGCAAGCAGGGGAACGAGCCTTTTCTGGGCCCCTTTGGGAACCCCACCACCACAACCTGCTCTCAGGAATGCTTCAGAGGGTAAAACTCTCGAGAAAAGTCTGCCACTCTTTCCTAAATACACTGGGGGCTGTTTTTCTCCTGGCAGGAATTTTTATTAAGCCAACCTGCAGGACCTCCAAACAGATAAACCTGGAGCCTCCTGAGGGGCCTGGCCTCCCCTTTCTTCTTAGGGTTGAGTTTTATTCCAAAGGCTCTCATCAGTGGCCTCTGTAGCCAGTTGCCTGCTGTGGAGACAGGAGGGCTGTGGACCGGAAGCAGCCACCAGGGCCCCTCCTGCCTCGGTGGCCCCACCCAGGCTAGGCTGCAGGGAGTCCGCTGTACACCCCCAGAGCCCATTCTAGCCTGTGCTGAGGAGTTCCCTCCTTTACCTCCTTAGATGATAGCTCCCCACCAGTGGTCAGGAAAAAGATGGTAAGAGTAGAATTCTCAATTTGAGGACTTCTTTTCCTCATAAAATGTTCTTAAGCTTTCAGTGTTGACCTGATGGTGGATGCTAGAAGATGCCAAAATGAATGCATGAGAAACAGAAAAAGCTCAGACATCTGATCATGCTTGGCCCAGGAGCTTATGGTGTCCATGGATGCCTGTGTGCTTGTAGTTGAGAACTCGTAGAGACGTATTTTGGCTTGAATAAATCTGAATGGCAGAAGAACCATGAGGCCGTGCATCACAGGGCAAAAGTCAGTCTTTCCTGACCCTCTCTGGACAGAGCTAGCCATTCCAAAGAGGATTCAAGCCCCTATGTCTTTGGCCTCTAAGAACTCACTGGGTGAAGGTTGGACAGGATAATAGTGGGATGGCTGCACCACTGTAGCCTCCAGTATCCCAGGAAGCTATGGGGTGTCATGAAACAGTCGGGGGACTTGCTGAGAAAACTTGCAGTGCCCCTTTCACATTCAGGTTGGTGATTTCTGCTCCATTTCGTTCCTTTGTGCTTTAGTGCATTGATTCATTCAGCAATGTGTATCCAAGCATCCAAACTTCCCCCATTCTTCAAAGCTTACCCAAATTCTACCTCCTCCACAAAGCCTTCCTTGTCCATTCCAGCACAGCACCTTTATCTAAGCCGTTCATTTCTTGAATGACATTCTGTTTTGTCATGTGTTGTGTTATCTTTGCCCTAAGTCTGTTTCTGGACATAGAATCCATGTCCTAAACATCTTTGTATCCCTATAGCATAGCACAGTGCTGTGACAAATTGGGTGGATGGATGCGTGGGTAAGCCCTGGGTCAGGCAGTATTCTCTGAGCTGAATGGAGAAGGGAGTTTAGCAAGTCCATCTCTAGTTTGGACTGTGGAGACCAGCAATGGAAGGAAAGACTATTACTTTGGGCAACTATTAGTGATCCTGCTGCCTGAAGATGGCACTAGAGGGCACTTAAATAAGCAAAGGCACTTGCCTATTCAGCTCACCATTATGAGCACCTACTGTGTACAAGACACTATGCCACCGGTTAGAGGAACAGAGGTGACTACATCGTAAGAGCAGAAAAATATGGAATCTAGCTGGGTAGACAACTCATGCATGTGAAAAATTAAACAATGATTTTTTTAAAAGTTCAAATGGTATTATAAGGCAGTAAATGCGAAGTAGTCCAGAAAGTAACTACTCTGGGCTTAATGCTTCTTCATCTTGGATTTTCTAGGGCTGTCCCAACTCTCAGATGCCTGCCTTAAGGTCCTCCAGACCACTAGCACTTACTGGATTACAGAGCCAGATTTTGCTATCCCCAAATGTGCTCAGTGTTGGTACAGAGCCTTTGAAGAGAGAGGTATAGCAATGAGCGGGAGGGAGGGCAGGGGTGAAAGGGGCCAGGAGGGAAGCTTTATATAAGAATTCCCCTGAGTTTTCTGAAAAATCGGTAGACACAGAAGAATGGACAAGGCATTTTAAGCAGAGGGAAAAGGCATGAATAAGGGGCCAGGAGTGAGAATGGATAGGGTTTATTTAGACGACAGTTCATTCATTCACTCATTTAACAAATAGTTATTGAACCTTTGCTAAGTGCCAGGCAGTGTTTTCCTATTGAACACACAGAGTGAATGAAATAGGCAGTCTGCCTTCAAGGTGCTAATGCGGCATTAAATTTCTTTGTATGTTTGTTCACATATAAATAACATACAGATAAATAGGGGGAAGTGCTCTAAAGGGAAAGAACAGGAGCATACAGAAGACTTAGATAGGCACCTTAGCTTCCCAAAGGAAGGCGACATGTAAGTGGGAATCTGAAATATGGAGGGTGGGGGAAAGAGCATTCCAAACAGGGCAGGAGGGCCCTTGTGGTGAAGGTCTCCAGGTGGGTAAAGAGGATGGCACGTTTGAGACACTGAATGACAGCTGGAGTTACTGGACCATAGTGAGTGGACACATTTGACTGTGAAAACGGATTGCAGGCTGAAGGCAGCCTGTGGAAGGCCAGGCTGCAGGCTTGCACATGTTAAAACATTCTCTGAGGCCGGGTTGCCACTGGGTTGCTCCTGTATTCCAATTTGAAGGCTCCCCAGAGAAAGAGACAAGTAGGAGAAAAGCAAGGTTCTCTCCGACAAGCACCTTGTGACTCCTGTCCCTGTTCGCAGCCAGGCAACGGGGCCGTTGTGGTGGATGAGCTGCAGGAAAACAAGAAGCTAAAGGTGGGTGCCACGTGGAGTCTGCCCGGTGGGCACGCTGCAGGGGCTCAGAGAACAGCCGCAAACCTGGGCACTGCGGCCCCGAGGCTGGGGATCCTGGGCTGGGCTCAACTGGGGACGCTCCTGGGAGCGCTGCCCGGGTAAGCCGGGGAAGGAGCTGGCTGCTTTGCCTGAGGGACTCTCACCTCCAGGTGGTTTGGAAGAGGGGCTAGCTTGGGTGCGAGGGCCAGGATGTCACTGGCCACTCTGCCACGAGCGTAGGCCTCAGATTCTGCATCTGCAAAATGACTGGACTAGAGGAACTCAAGCCCCAACACGCTGTGACCGATCTAAAAGCCTAATTACCTGTGGCTTCGGGATGCCCCAGACTAAGAGCAACATGGGAGGGGGCGGGGAGTCTGAGGCTCCCGAAATGCTCTCTTAACTGCCTTTGGCTTATGAGAGGGGAGAGGCTGGGGCCGGAATGAAACCTCTCTCATCCAGAGAAAATCCCCAGGCGTGCTGGGAAGAACTGTTACCACAGCCGCTAGATGGCAGAAGAGTTCAGACCCAGACGGATGGGGGTGCGGGACAGGGAGGGAGGGAGGGACTGAGCCAGCCTTTGTCTCTTTGCATGTTCCCTTGTGAATCATATATGTGCCACTGTGAGTGAGTGTGTGTCCCATCTATGTATCTGTGCATAAAGATGAGTGTGTGCGTGCCTGTGAAGGTCTCTTGAGTACGTGGACAGAAAAAAAAAAGAACTGGCCTGGGAATCAGAAGACCTGGGTGCTAGTCTTAATTCTTTCATTTACTCCCCACACACCCTGGGATAAGCCACCGAGCCCCGCTGAGGTTTCATTTCCTTTTCTGTAGGAGCTAGCAGTGGCACAGCACGTACCCATGCTCAGGGGCCTGTCTGTGTGGTGGGCAGGTTGAGTGTGTTTCTGTCGGGGGCTACTTGCAGGGCTGGACAAACCCTCAGTAATGTGGCATCTTTAGGACACATTGCTCCCCATTGAGATCCTGGGGGATTTATTCAGTATGAGGAGTTAGCCAGGCATGGAAGAGTGAGGGGAGGCTGAGAGAGCCCATCAGCAATCCTGGCTGAAGTGAAGGAAGTGGGGAGGCTGGGGTAAGGCTGCTGTGCTTCGGCCCTCATCCCTGTGGGAGGGAGGCAGGGCTCCCGAGGCCCTCGGGTGGCTCCTCCCTGGCATGACAGGGGCCCACCCAGGCCTGTGTGGCTCTCCCCTGCCCAGCTCCCGGCAGCGCTGACCCGAGGGAGCAGCTCCGCCTCTCTGTACAACAGCACCATCCGCAGCACCATCTACCAGCTCATGTTGCACAGCCTGGACCTGCTGGGGGAAGGTAAGCAAGGCCTCCCCAGACCTGCGTGGCTTCCCTGTCCACTCCTTCCCTCCTGCCACTCAACAAGAAGTGGGTACTGCAAAATGGAGAGTCAGAAGGTGGAAGTGCGGAGAGTCCACCAAGGAGAGTGGGTGGTGAGGAGCCACAGTGTGGCAGCCGGGATAAAGAGGCAGCCGGGGCTCATCAGGAGGGGCCCCAGGAGCTAAGGTCCTTAGGCATGCACATCCCGCTATGTCCTGCCTCTGTATCCCTTCTAAATGTCAAATGAAGGGGTTCACCTGCAGTTAGTGAGGCCACGAGTGCCACGTGCCCTGCGATGGTCTATGTGGGGGCATAGAGTATGCCCCCGTGACTTCCCGGCAATGCCCACCACCCACCAGCTGGCTCCAGTGAACCACAGAGTCTCTGGCCATGCAGCTTGGCCCAGGCTGATGGCCAGGGTAGCTTCTAGGGGGCACCTCTTGTAGGCCCCACAGCCCAGAAGCCCTCAGTGGCACCTCCCTCTGCTCTGTTTTCAGCTCTGAAGTCTTAGAGACCTGCTATTCCCTCCCCCGACCAGGAATCTCAAAGGACACTCTGTGAGCTGCCAGGACCACTTCTGGGGGTGGTGAGGTTACAAAGTACAACAGGGGCTGATGTCCAACTTAACAAAAATGATGGGGGCAACTGAGATGCTCACCAGCCACCTTACTAAGTCCTGCCTACTAGTCCCTCCCAAGGCACCTGCCCCCAGCATGCTTCCCAGGCCCCTGGAGGGCACACTCAGGGGCACTCCTGCCCTCTTTGGGCTCCTCCTTCTCTGGGGCTCTGGCGCAGAACTGGGAGCCCAGGCAGGAAGCCCATGAAGGGAAGGTTGGCCCCAGGGTCTGAGTGTAGCTGGGAAGGAAACTGAGAACTGAGCTGAGTAGACGCCAGAGGCTGATGCATGAGCCCCGGGGAGCACCCTGCCTGGCCTTATGGTTCAAGGACAAGTTTTAGGGGCTCCGAATTTCCTCAGGCTCTGAAGCGCCTTCTTCAGACACAATATTGGTTGTTGGGTGTTTAAAAAAAGCATATTATACTGTGAAAAGCAGAGTCAAAGACAAGGTGGTCAGACCTTCCTTTATAAATAACATACAGATAAATAGGGGGAAGTGCTCTAAAGGGAAAGAACAGGAGCATACAGAAGACTTAGATAGGCACCTTAGCTTCCCAAAGGAAGGCGACATGTAAGTGGGAATCTGAAATATGGAGGGTGGGGGAAAGAGCATTCCAAACAGGGCAGGAGGGCCCTTGTGGTGAAGGTCTCCAGGTGGGTAAAGAGGATGGCGCGTTTGAGGGACTGAATGACAGCTGGAGTTACTGGACCATAGTGAGTGGACACATTTGACTGTGAAAACGGATTGCAGGCTGAAGGCAGCCTGTGGAAGGCCAGGCTGCAGGCTTGCACATGTTAAAACATTCTCTGAGGCCGGGTTGCCACTGGGTTGCTCCTGTATTCCAATTTGAAGGCTCCCCAGAGAAAGAGACAAGTAGGAGAAAAGCAAGGTTCTCTCCGACAAGCACCTTGTGACTCCTGTCCCTGTTCGCAGCCAGGCAACGGGGCCGTTGTGGTGGATGAGCTGCAGGAAAACAAGAAGCTAAAGGTGGGTGCCACGTGGAGTCTGCCCGGTGGGCACGCTGCAGGGGCTCAGAGAACAGCCGCAAACCTGGGCACTGCGGCCCCGAGGCTGGGGATCCTGGGCTGGGCTCAACTGGGGACGCTCCTGGGAGCGCTGCCCGGGTAAGCCGGGGAAGGAGCTGGCTGCTTTGCCTGAGGGACTCTCACCTCCAGGTGGTTTGGAAGAGGGGCTAGCTTGGGTGCGAGGGCCAGGATGTCACTGGCCACTCTGCCACGAGCGTAGGCCTCAGATTCTGCATCTGCAAGATGACTGGACTAGAGGAACTCAAGCCCCAACACGCTGTGACCGATCTAAAAGCCTAATTACCTGTGGCTTCGGGATGCCCCAGACTAAGAGCAACATGGGAGGGGGCGGGGAGTCTGAGGCTCCCGAAATGCTCTCTTAACTGCCTTTGGCTTATGAGAGGGGAGAGGCTGGGGCCGGAATGAAACCTCTCTCATCCAGAGAAAATCCCCAGGCGTGCTGGGAAGAACTGTTACCACAGCCGCTAGATGGCAGAAGAGTTCAGACCCAGACGGATGGGGGTGCGGGACAGGGAGGGAGGGAGGGACTGAGCCAGCCTTTGTCTCTTTGCATGTTCCCTTGTGAATCATATATGTGCCACTGTGAGTGAGTGTGTGTCCCATCTATGTATCTGTGCATAAAGATGAGTGTGTGCGTGCCTGTGAAGGTCTCTTGAGTACGTGGACAGAAAAAAAAAAGAACTGGCCTGGGAATCAGAAGACCTGGGTGCTAGTCTTAATTCTTTCATTTACTCCCCACACACCCTGGGATAAGCCACCGAGCCCCGCTGAGGTTTCATTTCCTTTTCTGTAGGAGCTAGCAGTGGCACAGCACGTACCCATGCTCAGGGGCCTGTCTGTGTGGTGGGCAGGTTGAGTGTGTTTCTGTCGGGGGCTACTTGCAGGGCTGGACAAACCCTCAGTAATGTGGCATCTTTAGGACACATTGCTCCCCATTGAGATCCTGGGGGATTTATTCAGTATGAGGAGTTAGCCAGGCATGGAAGAGTGAGGGGAGGCTGAGAGAGCCCATCAGCAATCCTGGCTGAAGTGAAGGAAGTGGGGAGGCTGGGGTAAGGCTGCTGTGCTTCGGCCCTCATCCCTGTGGGAGGGAGGCAGGGCTCCCGAGGCCCTCGGGTGGCTCCTCCCTGGCATGACAGGGGCCCACCCAGGCCTGTGTGGCTCTCCCCTGCCCAGCTCCCGGCAGCGCTGACCCGAGGGAGCAGCTCCGCCTCTCTGTACAACAGCACCATCCGCAGCACCATCTACCAGCTCATGTTGCACAGCCTGGACCTGCTGGGGGAAGGTAAGCAAGGCCTCCCCAGACCTGCGTGGCTTCCCTGTCCACTCCTTCCCTCCTGCCACTCAACAAGAAGTGGGTACTGCAAAATGGAGAGTCAGAAGGTGGAAGTGCGGAGAGTCCACCAAGGAGAGTGGGTGGTGAGGAGCCACAGTGTGGCAGCCGGGATAAAGAGGCAGCCGGGGCTCATCAGGAGGGGCCCCAGGAGCTAAGGTCCTTAGGCATGCACATCCCGCTATGTCCTGCCTCTGTATCCCTTCTAAATGTCAAATGAAGGGGTTCACCTGCAGTTAGTGAGGCCACGAGTGCCACGTGCCCTGCGATGGTCTATGTGGGGGCATAGAGTATGCCCCCATGACTTCCCGGCAACGCCCACCACCCACCAGCCGGCTCCAGTGAACCACAGAGTCTCTGGCCATGCAGCTTGGCCCAGGCTGATGGCCAGGGTAGCTTCTAGGGGGCACCTCCTGTAGGCCCCACAGCCCAGAAGCCCTCAGTGGCACCTCCCTCTGCTCTGTTTTCAGCTCTGAAGTCTTAGAGACCTGCTATTCCCTCCCCTGACCAGGAATCTCAAAGGACACTCTGTGAGCTGCCAGGACCACTTCTGGGGGTGGTGAGGTTACAAAGTACAACAGGGGCTGATGTCCAACTTAACAAAAATGATGGGGGCAACTGAGATGCTCACCAGCCACCTTACTAAGTCCTGCCTACTAGTCCCTCCCAAGGCACCTGCCCCCAGCATGCTTCCCAGGCCCCTGGAGGGCACACTCAGGGGCACTCCTGCCCTCTTTGGGCTCCTCCTTCTCTGGGGCTCTGGCGCAGAACTGGGAGCCCAGGCAGGAAGCCCATGAAGGGAAGGTTGGCCCCAGGGTCTGAGTGTAGCTGGGAAGGAAACTGAGAACTGAGCTGAGTAGACGCCAGAGGCTGATGCATGAGCCCCGGGGAGCACCCTGCCTGGCCTTATGGTTCAAGGACAAGTTTTAGGGGCTCCGAATTTCCTCAGGCTCTGAAGCGCCTTCTTCAGACACAATATTGGTTGTTGGGTGTTTAAAAAAAGCATATTATACTGTGAAAAGCAGAGTCAAAGACAAGGTGGTCAGACCTTCCTTAAAACATCATCAAGGTGAGCCTTGACACCAAGAGGCCGCACCCACGTGTCAGCTTCAGAAAACCAGTACCCCTGGGGTTTTGAGAGCAGAGCCTGTAGCACCTGGCAGCCTGTGGGTGACCCTGCTGAGGGCACACCTGGTCCGGGTGACGGAGTGAAGGGGGCTGTATCTCTGGGTTATGCTTGGCCACTCCCCATGGAATCACAAACTCTAGCAAAGTCCTGAATGTAGAGACCTCCTGAATGGGACACGGGGCCCCTGCCCTGGGTCACTTCCCTCACCAACAGCCACCCGCTGACCTATTTGTCCTAACAGGATTATGTGATGGCCCGGCCAGGCTGAGGTCAGGGGAGATTGATACTAAGAGGAGATGATCCGGCTGCGCTGAGGGCTGAGAGGCCCCGTGGGGAAACGAGTGCTGGCGGAGCCAGAGGCAGTCATCCCGGGGAGACCAGCAGGCCTGGTACATCGTGGGGCTGGCATGGAAAGGGCCGTGGTGAAGGGCTGTGGCTAGGCTCTGGGAGGCAGTGTGCTCAGAGAGGCCGGCCGTGATTCTACACCCTGAGGCTCCGCGCAGGCAGGGCTGGGACTGCCCAGGGCTGTGACAGTGGCCTTTGTTCCCAAGACTTTCCAGAGACACGTTTGTGTTTCTATGTGCTGTTTCCCAATGGCTGTCGAGACGCTTCACCCTTCCCAGGCATTCCAGCTCTTTCCACAGAGCTGAGGTGTGGTCTGAGCTCCCATCTGCCCTGGGAAGGGCTTTTCCTCTCCAGGACCCTGTTCCTCTTCTGGTGACTTCAGCTGGATGCGTGTGGGTTTGGGGGAGAGAGAGAGAGAGATGCTGAGACAGAAGAACAGATGGGGACAAACAGAAAGAGGCCCTGCGGCTCACCTGCCTTCTTCGTTGGCTGGGGGAATGAGAGGTTGGGGTGTGTGACGAGGGATGAGAAGGAACAAGGGGAACTCGTTTTTCTTGCCAGCTCCTCCAGGCAGTCAGCAGATACTCTCAGCGCCAGGACCGGGACCAGGGCAGCGTCCCTTTGATAACAGCTTTGCGTTGCTCACAGAAGACTGCAGTGCGTGGTCAGGACCAGAAGGGCACTGGAGTTGTCTGGATGGAGGCATGGAGGGCCTGCCTCCTGACATCGCAGGTCTGACGAGGACCTGCTGGCAGGCCCCCGCCGGGGCTCTTTGGGGGGCCACACACGCCAGAGTGGTGGCTCTGCAGAATGGAGCCCCCTCCCAGAGGCAGCTGCAGCTGAGAGTTTAGAAGACAGGTTGAATGGAGGAAATTCCAGACTTGTCTATATTTCCTGCCCATCCTGGACCCAGGCAGAGTCCAAGCCAGCCAGCTTCCCAGATTGCACCTTCTCTGTTTATGGACTGGAGCATCTTCAGGCTCCCTCCCAGCTCGAGCCTTCCAGAACACGGGGCCTCATCGCTGTGGGGCTGCTTCCTGGACAGCTGCCCTCAACTCCTGTTGTCCAGTCACCACTGATGTCAGAACTAACATGCAGTGTTTTCTAGGTGCCAGGCACCATTTTAAGGACGATTCATTGTATAAATTCATTTATTCCTTCAACAACTCTGTAAGACATTACGGATGAAGAACCTGAGGTACAGAGAGGTTAAGGAATCACCCCTCTAGGTCCCTGGTTAGCAAGTGGAGGGACTAGGATTCAAACCCAGGCTCTCTCACACCAGAATCCGAGCTAACGTAATATTGAATTGTAGCAATTAAAACATTTTTATTTATTTTGTTTCATGGACCCCCACAGGAGTCGTGTGTCGTGGTATTGCCTTTTTAGAGAGGCCAGCCTGGACTCCAGAATAGACCTGTGGCAGCACTTTGCTCTATAACTTGTGCCACTGCCCTCGCCCTCCCAGGCTGCCCGGCTGTGAGGACCCTCCTGAGCCTCTGCACCACAGTCTCTGTGCCTCCCACCCTGAAAGGACTCATGTAAAGCACTCCGCCTGGGGCCTGGAACATTATCACATCGAAAGAGCATTGTCCTCCCCATTTACCATTCCTGGAAATCAGGACAGCACCATTCTGTACACGATGCTCTGTGGGCCTCACCCGAGCACGGTACACGCACAGGGCTCTGGAAGGAGGCCCCGCTTGTGCTCCAAGTATCTGGGGTCAAAAACGGTGCAGCAGGGAGCTTGGCGGTCAGCGGTTTCTCCTTTCCCATCGGAGAGGAAAGGCTCATGAATATGGCTACCAGTAGTGCCCCTGGAGCTAGAGCTACAGTGGCCCTGGATTCTGGTATCTTCCTAGCAAGTGAGCTGCAAAGGACTTTAAAGATAATCTAGTCCAAGGACAGCAAAAATGTCTCCCTTTTTAACAACGTAACAAATGTTATTATTTGGCCACTCCTTGCCGACTGCAGACATCACTGATCAATCCTGGTAATCCACCAACCTCAGATCAGAAGCCTCCTCAGTTCATTGCTCAAAAAAGCCATCTCCTGAGCTCAAAAAGGAAAAAAAACATCCCATGTGTTGCTCCTCAGTCCAAACAATGTCATTTTACCAGAAAGGAAATAGGACTAGAAAGGGGGAGTGGCTTGCTCCGTCACAGCTGAGTGAGTGACAGTGCGGGGAATTCAAGGCAAAAGTTGGGGAATCGGCACCGTGAGCAGGCCAGTAGGACCAGAATCTAGGCACTGCAACTCCCAGGCCAGCCTCTGCCCGCCCGCAATGGCAGCTCTGGCTGCCCAGCGGACCAGCCTGACTGAGGGGCATGCCAGGGATGCCACGGCCGCAGATAAGAGGTGCTTCTGTTCTCATTCACAGCCCGGCCCTCCAAGGACAAGGAGGAGGATGGCTTGGATCAGGAGGCCAAAGCCAAGCCTCAGGCCACAGCAGAGGGCACACCAGAAGGTGAGAGGACGCCAGCCCAGTAGGTTTCCTCCTGCGCCTCCCCTCCCCGCTCCTGGCGGCCGGGCCCTGGGGTGTGCCTCTTGGCCTCTCCGAGCCAGTCTCCGGCCTGCCGATCGGGGCTGCCCTGCCCACAGCCGCCCTCTGGCCTCCCCCTGCCAGTGCTGCTCCCTTTCTGACTCAGCCGCTGGCGCTCCCGCGAGCTTCAGATGGGGAAGGCCAGGGCGGGCCAGGGCGCTGCTGAGCTCCTGTTTCTTGGCTAGATCTCATCCCAGATGAGACTCTATTGGTCTCTATTTCTTCTTCCTGTCACTTCTACACAAGGACAGTGCTGCTAGGGACTGGTCTGAGACCAGCAATCCCAGTGAGGGAAGGCCACCAGGGAGGGGTCTGGTGACATCGGAGTTCAGCATCTGTGTGGCAGTTGGGCTTGGGTGGTGAGAAGCTCCTGCCCTGTGGGTCTCGCACAGCCCCCCAGGCCTGCCTGACTGCACCTGGCAATGTGCACAGACAGGGAAGCTGAGGCTCAGAGAGGTCAAGTCACTTGCCCAAAGCCCTCCCAGCCAAGAAGTGAGAAAGCCTGTCCCTAAACTCAACGCTCCCCACTTTCCATGTCTCCTGTTCCTCTAATCCTATCCCAAGGCTTCCTGGAAGCTGCTTTTGAAATCGTCAGGGTCCTCTGCATGCAGCAGGTAGGGGGAAGGGCCAGACTGAGGGCTGGGGCCTCGCCTGTCGCTGCTCCGGTTGCCCAAGCTGTTCACAGTATCATTCCTCACACTGGCCAGGACGGGGATTCGGGGGGCAAGGAGGCCACTCCCAGCTGCGCTCCCATCTGTAGCTCTCTCTGTGGACAGGGCAATAATGATTTACATCACATCATTTTACTTACCCTATCAATGAGATAGTCTCCACCCAAGCCTTCTGAGACCCTGAGGTGGACAAGTCCAGCAGCCCTGCAACCATGCACACCAGTCTCTGCCGGCTGCCTTCAAAATCTGGCACACTCTTCTGACCTGTCCCATGTTTGTCCTTTAAAGAGGAGGAGCCAGCCAAGCTTCCTGCGGTCACAGTCACACCAGCCCCTGCTCCAGCTGTCACGAGAGATGAGGAGGAGGATCCTGGCTGTCAGGTAGGCCCAAGCTTCTTCCCAAGTGGAGGAATCTGAGAGGCCCAGGGAAGGGCTTGCTGACCCCAAATCCTTTCTTCCTGAAGGTCTGAAATGCCATTTAATGTTCATTCCTCTGGGTTGAGGAATGGCCGTTTCTCTGAAGATCAAACACCTCATGGGGCCAGTTAGTTCACCATAACACCTTAAGGTGAGAAAATATGTATGAGACGGTGTTGCCACCTGTCCCTGTAAGAACTGGTGCCGTCAGAACATGAGCAATCTTCACAGCCCCACAGCCTCTTCTTTCACCGTGCTCCAGCCAAGCTGGACTTCTTGTCTCCGTGCATTTCTGCCTGCAGGCCTCAGCCCCCCTGGTTTCCTCCCCCTAGAATGCCTTCTCCCCTCCACCTTCCTCTATCCCAATCTCACCCACCCCTTCAGGCCAGTGTAAATGCCTCAACTGATCCCCAGTCTGAATTCATGGTGCTTTGTGCCTCTCTCAGGGCTCTCATCCCTGTCTTTCTTGTACTCTATTTACGAATCTCTCCTGGTTTCCCTGCTAGGTGGTGAGGTTCCCGAAGGCAGGATCCAAGTCTGAGTCATCTCTGTCCCCCCAGAGAGAAATGCGATGCCTGGCTCACAGCTCTGCTCAATAAGGGTTGAGTGACTGACAGCAGATAAGCATTCAGTTTGCAAGTTCCACCCATTCGTTTTTTCTGTTTGACACCCAGAATCGTATCTCATCCTTAAGCCAACAACTTTGGGTTTAGTGTCTGAGACATCTTGATGGGATCATGAGTGCCCTGAGTTGACCCATTATAGCAATGGGGTTAGGAGGACACAGAGGCGTCTCCTGGAATCCCAGAGCAGGAAGTGAAGCTTGTCTCACACAGACAGGACCGAGGCCTGAGAAGCATCTGTGCCCTTGGTGGCTTCTCACTCCACGTCCTGCTGTCCCTCACACCCCCTTCTCTGTGTGCAGGCTCCACCACCCAGCCTCTCCTGGCAACCCGGCTCCGTTTGCTTCCTCGTTAGCACACACAGCCCTAAGTCACTGCTCCAGTCCTCCCACCCACAGGGAGATCAACATGGACTGGCTCCCAGGCTCAGAAGAGAGAGGGTCTGTTCAAACCAGGTCACAGGGCTGTTAGGAGAGAAAGTTCTCAGGCTGGGCAGACACTCCCATACCTACTGATTCAAATGACTTGTCATCTCCTCCAGGAAGCCTTCTCTCCTGATAGGGATGGGGAAGGGAGGGCAGGAATTACTTCAGACTAAAATCTTCTCACTCTTCATTCTCAATTCAAAGCACAGGCTTCATGGACATTAGTATTTCACTACTTCATCAGGGGTTCTCAACCCTGGTTGTACATTAAAATATTTTAGAGAAGCTTTAAAAAAAATGCCCAGGCCCCACCTTCAAGCAATTAAGTCAGAATCTATGGGGTGGATCCTTGGGTGGGAATGTTTTTAAAGCCTCTGGGTGATTTTAATAGGCAGCAGAGTTGAGAATCGCTGAGCATCCCTTGGGGGTTGGCTGTGTCACAGAATTTGTTACAGATGACGTACTACTTGAGCACATAGCCCGGGTCATTTCTCAAGGGACTGGATCAGCAGATTGTGATAGGTTAGTTGAGTGCCTAATGTGAAGACCCTCAGATAACTGACTTTTAGGGCAGAGGGAGTCAGTTCAAGGGTCCCAAATGCTGGTCTGCAGATAAATTTGTTAGGATCGCTTGAAAGCCTGTTAAGATAGATTCCTGGCTTTCAGCTCAGAAGTTCTAATTCATTTGGTCCAGATGGAGCCAGGAAATTTGTATTTTTTATTAAATTAAATTTATTTATTTATTCTGGGAATTTGTATTTATAGTAAGCTCACCAGGCTACTAGGTTTGGGAACCAAAGATCTCCTTTAGCCCTGGTATTTGCAAAGCAAGGTAGCGTAATGGTTAAGAGGCTGAGAGTGGGACTATCCATATTTAAATCCCACCTTCGTCACTTACAAACTCGTGGACCATGGGCAAATTATTAACCCTCGTTTCTCCATCTGTCTGGGATGGGTTTAATACTATCTATATCATAAATTAATTGACTCATGAAACATAGTAAGTGCTGTTATTATTTAAACCACTTAGCTTGGTGGTTGACATCCCAAAACCCTCAATAAGTAGGTATTAATTATCATCATGATATATAATGCAATATAACAGTTTGGGAGTTGTAGAAGACTCGCAATGTGACGTGATCACCGAAAGATATGCCACATTAATGGAAGCATAGTATCTAAGATAACGGACGTGATAATCCTATTCCACTCTATACAGTGTTCTCTGTTCAGTTCTGGAAGCTTCCTCATGAGACATGAGTTCATTAGAATGAGTTCACCAAGATGGGAAGGAGGCTCTAGTCCATAGCATGTAGTGATGGCAGGACCTGGGAATCTTTAACCCAGGGAGGAGAGCTGTCTCGTGGAATAGTGACTAGCTTTGTTCTGTGTGACCCCAAGAGTCAACCTGTGTACAGGAGGTAGAATCTTGGTACAAACATGGGCTCCAAACCAATCAGTTGTCAAGATGACAAAAGCTGCTTTAGGTGGTGAGTTCTCCATCCCTGGATTTGATCAAATAAACACAGGACAATCACTGGGCAGGAGCTGTAAAGGGGATTCTGCTGAATGATTGCATTAGTTTTCTCCTCCTACCCAAGTTTTCAGGTTCATTCTGAGAGAACAACACAGAATGGGGAGACACTGGGAAGGAAAACAAGCAGTAGTTACACAATATCATTCTTATCAGCATCCTATCCTCATTAGCATTATATCTGCTACTATTAATTAGTGGTTATTGCACCTTAATCTGTGGTTTTGGGCCGCAGGAGGACGTGGCTGGAGCTGAGAGTGCAGGTGAGGTGAGAGGTGAAGAGGCGGACGCTTCTGGTGAAGGTGAGAACAGACAGCGAAGCGGAGGTGAGGCCCAGCTGGGAGGTGAAGGTGAAACTGGAGCAGGACAAGGAGATGGTGCAGCGGAAGGTGGACGCCAAGCGAGAGAGGACGGGAAAGAGAAAGGTGATGAAGGAGAAACCGAAGAGCAGGAATTCAATGCTGAAAGTGATGAGGAGTGGACAGATGGCGAACAGGGAGATGATGGAGGTGACAGTGAAGATGAGGAGGACGAAGAGGAGGAGGAGGAGGAGGAGGAGGAGGAGGAGGAGGAGGAGGCGGCGGCGGCGGCAACCGAGGCGCCTCTGTCCCTGGCGTGGCCTGACACCAGGCAGAAGCAGGCCGTTTACCTCTTCCTCCTGCCCATTGTGCTCCCGCTGTGGCTAACGGTACCCGACGTCCGGAGGCTGGTGAGTTTGCCCCCCAGGCGCCTACACCCAGGGAGGCCAGGAGAGGGCCAACCAGCCTGGCAGGGCTCGACCACAGACTATCTGGGGTGAAATCTGCAGCTATGGAGACCGTGCACCGCGGGGGCCATGCTCATAGCTTGGGAGGCCCTATTACATGCTTACTTCTACCTCTACGAGCAAGGTGAACAGCCCCCACATGTCTCCTACCTCAGCTTCTTGATCTTAGTAAGGGACTGGTGCTACACCCTCTCCATATTTCACAGGGATATTCTGAAAACGTAGGGTGAAAGTTGAGATTTCCACCCAGCATTCCTATTTGTAGGGAAAGGTCTAGCATACCCTACCCAAAGGCAGTCCATCTCTGATCTGGGTTTCGGTGGGGGAGGGCCCAGGGAGGTCGCTGAAGTCAAACCAATACGAGATCCGTCTGGGTCTAGGGTGAGCCAATAGCTCCCTTCAGTTTGGTGACTGCCCAACCCCCTACTGGCTGGACTCGCCTATGGGCACCCACCCCATCCTTTCGCAGCCACCTAAGGGGCCTCCCTGGAGACAGAGATCTTAGCTCAAATGTCTCCAGATCCTCCCCATCACAATTCCAGCACATCTTGTCACTGATTCTGGGGCTCCCTCAGAAGAGCCAAAGACTTTCAGCCTCTGCAAATTATTTCTCTCCCTTTTCAAACTTTTCAACAGGAGTCTAGGAAGTTTTTTGCTATCACCTTTTTGGGATCCATCATGTGGATAGCCATGTTCTCATACCTCATGGTATGGTGGGCTCACCAGGTGAGTGGGTGAACAGCAGAAACTGAATCCCCCATCAGCAGCTTCTAAGGACACTTTTTTCCTTCAGGGCGAATTTCCAGTACCTAGGGAATGGTAAGGATCGAGTGGATTTATTGTTTCTACATTGAAAAGGCTTAAAAGCTGACTTTTTATTCTAGTGAAAGTGGCGCTTTTCAAGTGTGGCTCTTCTGCCTTAGAAAGTCTTCCCGCTGTAGCATGACACAGAAGGCCCTTCACAGTCTGACCCCGCTGACCACCTCTTTATTCCCTGCTTCCCCTGCCGTCAGCCCGCGCTCCTCCCCACCCGGTGGAATCGTACACACGCATGAGCCAGGTGTTTCTGCCTCCTCTCTAGCATTTCATGGTCTTCCTCTGACTGCCACGGCTTTTCTGTCCCATGTGGAATACTGCACTTAGCACAGAACCGTGACCGCTGTTCACAAACTCTCCTTCACGAGGCTGAGAGCAGTGTCGGGGTGCTCTCGTACTTCTGTCTCCAGCCTCTTGGTTCCTGACACATAGCAGTGGCCATGGTTCTGGAAATGGAACTGTGACCCCACAGATCTTGGGGGGAGCAGTTCTCTTGAGAGCGTAGGGGTGGTGCAGTTGGGAGGTGGTATCACAGACAAAGTCCAAATTAGAAAAGCATCAGTCTCTGAAGCCTTCAGCAGGGGCCCTGTCCTCTCTCTCTGAGGCCCATCTGCCGAGCCGTCAGTTCCACAGTCAGCCTCCCTCGCTCAGGCCCAGGGAGTGTGCTGAGCTCAGGGAAGGGTCGGGGGTTTGGACAGAGTAGTATGTGGTTGGTGTTTTGAAGAGCCTCAAACTTTCCCCTTGGTGCCACAGTTCTCATTACTGTTCCTGTTTACCAGGTCGGTGAAACAATAGGCATTTCTGAAGAGATCATGGGTTTGACAATCCTAGCGGCAGGCACGTCAATTCCTGACCTCATCACCAGTGTGATAGTTGCCCGGAAAGGCCTGGGAGACATGGCTGTGTCAAGCTCTGTGGGCAGCAACATATTTGATATCACCGTGGGGTGAGTGGCAAAGTTACTTACTTACCAAGGCACATTAACTATGACTGGAAACCACTGTGTGGGTTCTTGGCTGGTTTTCTGCTTCATTATTTATACATGGGATAAAGGGGCATTTCTATTATTTGTTTCTATAAGGCAACAAAGTATCTTCTTCATTCATCATAGCCAGATGGGATGAGAACTAAACCGCTGCTTGCAATGTACCTGAACTGGAATTTACAGATCAATTGAAAACTTAAGTCCATTAAATTCCATTACCAAATACAGTCAAACACCCTGCTTACTGGCCTGCAGTGCGGTGGAGGTAGGGTTGGAAGAAGCCGTGACTCAGGCTCACTTCCTGAAATTCCGGCCCTTTGCATTTGGGCTTCCGCCAGCTTGCAGGCTCTACAAGCGTTTTGTGTAAACAAGCAAGTGCTGTCTGCTCCTGTCCTGGTTCTCTAACCCTTCTGCCCAGTTCGGTCGGAGCAGAGCACCTGGACTATTTTCACTTCCTCAATCATGTCCTGGATTTGGGTGGTGTCTATTGGTTTCTTTAATTTCAATTTGTGTATGCGTGTGTATGGAGGATGGGGCAGGAGAGCCGTAATCACTAGAGAATTTAAAGAAATGTTTTCCTGAGCTAGGACTCATCATAAAAATGTAGAGATTAAAGAGTCACACATCAACTGATCTGGGTTAGTGATGCAGAAGTCATGAAGTGTGAAGAAAAAACCCCCTCAGATCCAGAAAACCAGTTTTAATCTAGCCTCTTCCAGTTACTAGCAGTGAGTCCTTGGGCACATAATTTAGTTTCCCTGAAATTTAGTTTTCTTATGCATGAAATGAGGCTGATACTTTCAGCACTATTTCATAGGCTTTTTTTTTTTTTTTGGTGGAAAAGTGTTTTGTAAATTGTAAAATACTGTTTGCATGTATTGGATTATTACAAACACTAAGAATGTTCATACTGTTTCTTCATCCTTGCAGACTACCTGTCCCCTGGCTGCTTTTCTCTCTCATCAATGGATTACAGCCAGTCCCCGTCAGTAGCAATGGCTTGTTTTGTGCAATTGTCTTGCTTTTTCTCATGCTCCTGTTTGTGATTTCTTCAATTGCATCCTGCAAATGGAAAATGAACAAGATCCTTGGCTTCGCAATGTTCCTCCTTTACTTTGTATTCCTGATAATCAGTGTGATGTTAGAAGGTCGAATCATATCCTGTCCTGTATCTGTCTGAGTCAGAGTCACTGTTACGCACAATGGACGTGGGTCAGAAAACCATGCCAAAAGCGAATGTACTTCTTGTTACGTGAATGAATGAACATGGTCCAGGGGAGTGAACTGGGTGGCCAACCGCCTTGATGCGAATGTTCTGGGACTGAATGTTCTCCCTGGGAGCACCTGCAGCTCCCTGTGAATGAAGAATCTCACCTCTGGAGGGGTGGAGTTCCTACCCCTGACCATGGAGGCCAGCAGCAGGATCCCTGGAGTCAGAGGGTTTTCTAAATGAGAGATACTTGGGGGTAAGTGTTGGGACAAACAGGAGCAATAAGACAAGCTCCCATGCTCCCGGTTTCTTCATCATTCCTAAAGGGCTGCTGATCCAAAAAAGACAGATGTGGCCGATCACTCCCCCTCCTGGCCTCTGTCCCAGGCACACACTGCAATTTGCTGTCTACTCTTTTTCTGTTCAAAACATGAGGTTCTATCAGATTTACAGTCATTATAGGTCCAGTTATTGGTGAGTTTAAGAAGCTAAGGCAATAGGGAAAAGAAGTATAACAGGGATCAATTATCATTGCACATCGTAGTCCAGTAAAATGTGTACCAATGATACATAGCTTAAAAGGACTACATTAGCTCTTATTATTGCATTTCTGAAAGGTGAAATTAAAATAAGTTGCCCAAGATATTAAAATTTGTAATTTGCTTTTGAATTGGAAGGCATGGATGTTAGGGAAGGCAAACCACTCTAAGGGCTAACAATAGTTCTAACAAGATTTAAAAGTATGTATTTATCAGAAAATCCAAGTTAGGGTTGTCTCCATTAAGTGGTCACCTTGAGGAATTAGATATTCTAATGAAGCTGCCCTGGCCCTGCCCCTCCAGCATATTCTCACTCAGCAGAGACAGCTGCTACTAGTGAGGGCGAGCGGAAGGAAGTTTTGAGTCTAAAGTCAGCAGGGCAAGTCTGGTTTATAAAGTAAGAGATCCAGTGGTGGAACGCTATGTTTGCATGTCAACTTAGATTGGATTATAAAGCAAGCAGACTGATTTTTTAATGTGATTTACAAGTGGATCTTAAGGCAATAACAAAGGATATTTTCCAAAAATGCTTAAGACAGTTATGACGTATTGAAAAAAGAATATTATGACTTCCAAGGTAGCTAGTGTAAAGGACACTTGTGTTTTTAAAGACTGTGTGGTTATTGAAACATTTTGTGTGGAATTTGCAATGCTGATCTATTAAAATACCACTGCTTGCTGCTTTTACTAGCATCAAGCTAAGGGACACATGAAGTGAAACAGTTCTATGTCCCTGGTTTCAGAGCAAAACAGCTCAAGTGACTGTGGATTATGATGGTAAATATTGTTTTAATTACAAACATGAGAGAGGATTGATTCATTGAAGACTAGAAGATAGCAGGACAGATGTGATGTGAACAAAAAAAAAACCATTCTGGTGTTGAAGGGCTATGTTCAAAGTACTTCAGTCCATAATCCATCTCCTGAGATAGGCTTGCTAATTAATGGCCTCACTACCCCAGGATTCTCATTCTTGGAAATGACTTTTATTAAATTTTAATAAACTGGAGTCCCAGTGGTATTTTACTTTACAAACATGGATGGGTTCCTCTGTATCTTTTGGTTACTTGGTCAGCTCAAGAGAACCTGATGAAGAATATGGAATCATGTTCAAATTCCATATTCTTGTATTAGTTTTCCTCAGTCATGAGGCTGCTGTACCGCCTGGTCTCCATATGCCCAGGCCTAAGAATAGGAGGAAAGAACAATGCCCAGGAAGGAAGGGAAATCCCAGTGCCCAAACTCTGATTGCCAGCATGTGTCTGCAGCCAATCCTAGGGAGCCTTGGGGATGTTGCCCAGGATTCGAGGCTCTTCCCCAGAATGACTGAGTGAGGACTGATGGATAATGAAACATTCTACAGTGCTAAAGCACTGGACAGCCATTTCGTGATTAAAATCAACTCTAAGGATCTAACATGCCTTTCCCAATCAGAATTTCTGGCATTTCTCTTTGCCTAGAAAGGAAGTTGTTATCACTTCACACTGTGACAAAAAGGTTCAAGTACATAAAATGAAAGCTGGGTATTGACGGGTGAGTAGGAATTCACTGGTGGCAGGTGGGGGGAGAAGAGGAGATTTCAGGGAGATGGAAAGCTTATGTAACTTCTAAAAGATCAATTTATTATGCCTGGAAATTAAAATTTTTTTGGTACACTTATAAATTTACAGTAATTAAAATTATTTTGTTTTAGGAGGTAAAACATCTTAAAATGTCAAGATAACGGTGAGATGGCCCTCTCGTTTGATAGGCAAAATCATCTGCACAGTTCCATGGGACACATTCTAGGTCATTCATTTAACCTGGAAAGTCTGAGCTGTCCCAGCTGAGTATGTGAATGGGAAGACTGGCTGCATAGGTGACGTCTCCTTCATCCCTCTTGAGGTTGCATTTCCTTGATGGCCTTGGTATTAGGTTTAGGCCAAACACCTAAAGATGTCAAACTGTTCGTAATTCAATGGGCTAAGATTCTATATAATACCAGAAAAAAAGGGTTCATCCCAAATTTTTGAGAATTGTTATGTTTTAAATGGTTACTATACATTTTGAACACTATACTGTACTCTCATCAAAAGGTGTGAAAATATTTTTATCCAATTATAGGCTTGGCCTATTTTATGACACTGTCTATATCATAATTATCATTTATTTAAAAATTGAGTGCCAAAGGAGACAGGAATTGGAATTTAAGACTTAGGGCACCCCTTGGCAGATACATCTGAAAAAACTGGTTGGTCTTATGTGCCAAAGAATACCCTTATTTCTGACCCCGTTTGTAGGAGGGTCCACTTGTAGGTGCAGGTTGCAATGTGTTTTGGGACTGGTCACTCTGAAAGGTACAACGAGAGGGCTCATGGTAAGGACTTTCTATTCCTGGGGAGTCACTAGCGCTGGTCAGGACACCCTGCCCCAGGTCTGCCTACACAACCACAGGCACACACCTGGTCTTCCGGCCCTTCACTCTGATGAGAAGGCAAAACATGGAGAATTTCATTTACAGAAAACCCCATCAGTTGCTCCCGTAGTGTTATCACAGTATCATGTCTGAAAAGAAAATCTTGAAATACAAAAGGAGGGAGTCATCCAAATGAACAGCAACTGTGGAAAGGCCACACAGTAACTTCATCGGAAGAGTCTGTTACCATCTCGGAGAATAAGCACATGCATACGGGCTTTCTGAAGCAGAGACAGAAATTCCTATATTAATTTGTGTACTGCTTATTTTGTAAACAAAAATAGTTAAGCCAGCAAATGTACTTACTTTGAGGCCAGAGGAAGAGTGTAGTATGAAGGGATTAGAAGAGTCCAAGTCTGAGGATATTAAGGTAAACTGGTATGCAGTTCTAGAGAATTCAATTCTGAAACAAAACTTCATCTTGTACCCAAACAGGAAGGGCAGAGAATGCTAGCTCTAGCACAAAGGTGGGCCACCAGCCCCCTCAAAGAGGCAGCCCGCTCTTTTCCTTCCTGCTCTGAGATAAAGTGCCTAACAGTAGCTTTCAACTTCTAGTGGGAGAAATAAATAAAGCTGGGCCATTGCATATTACCATACATATGGGTATTTTCTGGTTATATAAAGTATTTAGAAATACAACATACTATATTTACCAAGTATTTAGAAATACAATGTAACAGGCCTTCTATATGCAGCACTATGACTTGCTGGGTGTACTAAAATATCATAGTAATTCCCAGCATAAAGTAAAATAAGTATTTATCACCTAAAATGCTGAACCAATGTTTTCAGGGGCCATTTCTCTATATACAAACATGGAAAGACATGCTAGAAAACCTTCTAATAAAATAGGCTGGTGGCTTTAGTGTTTTAAAGTAAAACATACCACAAAATGAGAAAAAAAAAGACAAAATCAGAATATGAACAGGATGCATAATTCCCTATCTGACAATATGAGGAAAAAGTTGAATATCAAAATACAAAATACAAATGTGTGACACTGAAAATACATTGGGAGGAATTAGTAAACAAGTTATACCAGGACACAGCATGGTTTATTTTCAACTATTAAACATACAAACGAAACTAAGAGTCAGAAAATAAGAGACAGATAATGTTAGCAAAAGGGCATTTCTCTCTAACACGATTGGCTGTGGTTCTTCAAAATGTATGGTCAATGGACAGAAAATTGAAAAATTTGTATAGGGTTATTTTAAAGGATGATCTCTATTTTAATTTTCTTTTGAGCGGGGTTTACCATTTTCTAGTCTTGTTCTAGACTTTCTTTAAAGACTAATTTGTGCAAATAATATTCCCTAGGGTTTAAAAGTAGGGGGAAATAAAAGCCAACCAAAAGCAGAAACAAAACTTTGTGTGTGTGGGAGGTGATAAAAATTACATTCACTTTTCCAAATGAGTTTGAACCATAAAGAATGGGTTTACTTCACTTTTTTTGGTCAGGTATTTGAAATCAATAAACTCATTCTTCATATTGTGTGTTAAAGGAAAGGTAAGCAATAGTGAAAGCTGTTTGCCTAGGGGAAAAACCAAGCAACAACAAAAAGCCAGAAGGGAACCCCAGAATCCTGTTTGGAGGGATATTTGTCACTAATGCCAAAAGCTTCACCTATCATATGTTTCTCTCATTTGACAACTTTCAAATGATTCAGAGAACATAAGACTCAATTAGAATGCGAACCTTGGATCTGAATAGTAAAGGAGGAGAAGACTGGAGTGGTATTTACAAAGGAGAGGCAGGTATATGTGCATAGCACCAGATTTTTCAAGTAAGCAAGTTCAGCCCCCAACTAACTGAACTAAAATTTTACACTGTGAGCTTGTCCCATTATTTCCCAGAGTAGAAAGGTGTGACGTGTTTCAGCTTGGTGCTATTCATTTATTAATGGTGTGAATGCAAAAATGGTTTTTCTGCAGCTGAACTAATTGTAAGCCTTCGGACTTCAAGATATCTCCAGTCCAAGTGTCGTGGACTCTACTGGCTTTAATACACCTAATTTGGGACCATCCTTTTTCTTCTTCTTTGAAATTGGCTAAAGAATTCTTTCATTAATGACAATGTGCAAACACACACACACACACTGAAAATCTATAACTCTAATAGCCAAAGGATACTCTTTATCAGAAACTATACAAAGAAAGTGATATTAGAAATAATGGGACTAAAAATATATTTTTAAGAGTCTCTTTAATACTCACATTGCTTAAACTTTTTCAATTTATTGTCTGATTTCTGGATATTTCTGGATTTTAGATTCCAAAAACTTCAGATTCTGAAGGCTTATTGAAAAAGCCAAATTCCTCAATATGGGAAATTCTATCTGGCTGTACTTTTAGAGAGTTATTATTTTTCTACTTTTGAAAAAATATTGTGAATATTTATATATATAATATTAACAGAATATTGCAGTAGGTCATATTCCAGATAAATACAGTATAATTTGAGTCATACCCAATATTCTACATAATAAGGGAAAAATTTGGAACAAGCTGACATATTTCCCAACAGAAGTGTTCATGTAGAATATTAAAATTTAAATTGATATTTGGCTTTGTAAGCTGTTTCCCTGTGTATTGTATATATCTATTAGCAATAGAGGAAATCTTGGAATCATGGTATATTAAACCTGGTTTTGCCAAAGCAGACTTGGAACTGCTGAGGCGCTCCTTTCGCGAGGCTCAGGGAGTCAGTCCGGGCGGTGCACACCCTTGTCGTGACTCACTCACTGCGGTCAGGCTTATGGGCTATTAACATGCAAGCCGAGGACAACACTGACACTAGCACTGACTTTTTTTTTATCATTCTCCCAAGTAATAAAAAATATATAGAGATAGATATACATATAGAGATCTGCAGCTCTACTAATTACTTCAAATAGCAGCAGACAAAGAAAATAAGCACTTAATTGCTTGCTCCATAAGTTTAAGTTCATTTCATTTGCTATATTAAGTTTAAAAATTAAAAAAATATCAACTTACTATAAACAATCTGAAATATGTATAATACAACTTCATGGTCAAAACATTTGAACAGTCTATGAAAACAGGAGATAGTTTGATCTTACATTTGTTTAAGTTCCATACATGATTTTTTCATCTGTCTCTTCCAAGAGAAACCATAAAACAGTTGTCTTATTTTATGGGAACTAATTTTGTTTAGGGATTTCCTCACCACAAAAAAATACTTAATTATTTGTTACAGAAGTAAAGGAAAAAAAAAAGAAATGGGAAACAAAGTGGTTCTCTCCACTTATCATTATTCTCTTCCGAGGCCATTCTGTACATAAGCTATCTGTACTTTCTGAACCATTTACAAGTGCATTTTCAAAATCGAAGAAAAATCTTTAGCGTCTGAAAGTTATTTTATACACTGACTATATAATACATATTGAAAGCACACACACACATATCTTAAAGATAAGGTTCTCCAAAGGTTTTTCGACATTCCATCACTCCTGTACTTGGTGGTCTGTCACAGTTGTGTGTACTCTTGACTTGATTAGGTGTGAGACGATCATATGCCATCTTGTATTCTTTATCAAACGCATCTGCAAAAGTTCATGAAGAAATAAAAGCACAAAAAATTGATGCTTGATATTAACCCTAATCCAAGTTTCTGTAATACTAAAGAACTTCAAAATTAGAGGCCAAGGAGGAACCTCTGGTTAATTTCTCCCGACTGAAAGATCACAGAATCTCAAAGTTGGAACAGGAACCTTTGAGTTCATGGCATTTTAGATGACACAGACCTCTGAAATTGCCAACTTGAAAAAACTGCCAACTTAAAAAAATTACATTATCAAATTTTAAAATTGTGGTAAAATACATGTAACTCATGATTTACCCTTTTCATTGTTTCTAGCTATACACTTTGGTGATGTTACACATATTCATAATGTTGTGTAACCACTGCTGCCTCCCATCCCCACGAGCACTCATCACCTGGTGAAACTGAAACTCTATGTCCTGTAAACACTAACTCCCCATTTCTTCTCCCCTCCCGCCGGTCAACTACCATTCTACTTCGGTCTCTATGAATTTGACTAAGTACCTCACAAGCGGAATCATACAGTATTTGTCTCTTTGTGACAGGCTTATTTCACTTAACATAATGTCCTCAAGGTTACCCACGCACGAGCATGTGTCAGGAGTACCCTCATCTTTAAGGGTGAATGATGTCCCATTGTATGTATATGCCACATTTTGCTAATTCATTCATCCTTTGACAGATACTTACATTGCTTCCACATTTTAGCGATTATGAATAATTTTGGCTGTTCTGTACACAGGTGTACAAACATCTCTTTGAGACTCTGCTTTCAATTTTTTTTGGGTATATACCCAGAAGGGTGATTGCTGGGTCATAAGGAAATTCTATTTTTCATTTTTTGAGGGAACTGTCATACTGTTTTCCACAGCAGCTGTACCATTTCACATTCACATTACCATTAACAATGCACAAGGTTACAATTTTTCCATATCCTCACCAACACTTATTAGTTCCTGGTGTTTTGATAGTAGCCATCCTAATGGCATGAGGTGGTATTCCACTGTATTTTTGATTTGCATTTCCTAATAATTAGTGATGACAAGCATCTTTTCACATGCTTATTGGCCACTTATATATCTTCTTTGGAAAAATGTCTATTCAAGTCCTTTGCCCATTTTGAATTGGTTTGTTTTTTTGTTGCTAAGTTTTAGGAGTCCTTTATATATATTCTGTATATTAAATCCCTTGCCAGATAAATGACTTGTAAATATTTTTTTTATTAAGGTATCATTGATCTACAATCTTATGAAGGTTTCACATAACATTGTGGTTAGTATATTCACGCATATTATCAAGTCCCCCCCATACTCCATTGCAGTCACTGTCCATCAGTGTAGTAAGATGCTACAGAGTCACTGCTTGTCTTCTCTGTGCTACACTGTCTTCCCCATGACGCCCACCACACCATGTGTACCAATCATAACACCCGAGTCTCCTTCTCCCTCCCTCTCCACTCACCCCCCCCACCCCTTTCCCTTTGGTAACCACTAATCCCTTCTTGGAGTCTGTGAGCCTGCTGCTGTTTTGTTCCTTCAGTTTTGCTTTGTTTTTATCTCCACAAATGAATGAAATCAC